TAAATGCTGTGTTGCATAAAAGGATGATTCTTAGTCATAATTTTTTTGGAACTGTGCAGTATGACTTTTTCATGTACTTCTGTATGTTCCTTACCTTAAACAATTTGTATTATTAAACATGGGCACTTCCATGGAAATGCATTATTTTTTGTAGTTAAGTTTGTTGGTTAATATATACTTAAAAAAAAAAAAAAAAAAAAAAAAAAAAGATGCAGTGATGTTTCCCAGTCTGAGAACATCTTGAATACAGCTTCACAGTAACTGCTGGCAAATGTTAATACTATCATCATATAGAATAGCAGAATTGTTTGGTTGGAAAAGACCTTTAAGATCATGAAGTCCAACCATTATCTAAAACTTCCAAGTTCACCACTAAAGACACACAGTACTTAATGTTTGTATGATAAATATTTAACTACTCTAATTTGCCTCAAACTGTGACAGGATGTTGTAAGTGATAATTCAGGTGATATCAAACTGAAATTCACCTCTAATGTGTTTCTTCTTCTTTAGAATGCCTTCTGCATTCTTTCTTTTCAAAATAACAGTGCTGGGCACTTCTGCTTCTAAGCCTACATTGCTTAAAATGCTACCTAATTGTTTTTGTTACTTTTAAAGATTCATCAGTGGTAGTGGGGCAGTGCACCTAAACCCGTCTTTTCTTTCCATCCTTATTTTCCAAAGAATTAAAATCCTGTTAATAATAAATGCTAGAACTGAGGAAGCTAGGCCACCTAGTGGATGTAAGGGACTTAACATAGCGCTGCTGTTGATAAACTAAACTTCAGGCTCAAAAATACATGATGCCTAAGAAGAGGCAGGGCAGAGTTCTTGCATGAGTAGATTACTGAACTCGTCCCTCTGATGCTGCTAGAGATGCACCGTTGTCAAATCACACATTTTGAAAATCTTAGCTATGTGCACAAGTTGGAATGTAAATATGCTATAGGTATAATCCATTTTCTGTCATTATTACTGTATGTTAATCATCACAGTAGGAAAAGATTGGAGCAAAACTGTATGATCTGAGTTTTAGAAATAGAATATCCTATTGAAAGTTTAAAGTCTTCTAAACTTACCTTGTTAAGATATTTGGAAGTTCTTCATACATCACTGGAAACTTGAGTTAACTTGCATTTTGTTCAGGCAATATTTATTGACTTTTTTTTTTCCCCAAATTTTATAGACTTTATGCAGTTGGTGGTCGAGATGGAAGTTCTTGTCTTAAGTCAGTAGAATGTTTTGATCCTCATACAAACAAATGGACCCTCTGTGCTCAAATGTCAAAAAGAAGAGGTGGTGTAGGTGTAACTACGTGGAATGGGTTCTTATATGCCATCGGTGGTCACGATGCCCCAGCATCAAACTTAACATCCAGGTTGTCAGACTGCGTAGAAAGGTAATATCCCAGTGAAAGCATATCCTCCCAGTGGTTCTAAAAATGCCAGTCTGAAGTGTGATTTACCATTATTTCGTGGAAATAGCTTCTTAGAAAATTACTTTAATCACATTAAGCTTCTGAATAGTTATTTACCACTATATGCTGCAATAAAAGTCAGTTTTTCCAGAGAAGTACATTACTTTTTAAATTAATGATGAAGTAAATTAAATTCTATCTGCAGCTTAAGAATTGCCCTCTTTCACTACATTGTACTTCAACTTGCAGCATGAGCTTTGTCAGCATTTCCATATGATGATTGTCATGTTTGCATAAGACATACATTTCTGCAGTACTTGGAATAGACAACAAAAGATGAAATTAAGAGTTCATTACATCTGTGTTCTTTATGCAAACAAATTATAAGACACTTGCTTCTAGGTAGTATGATCTTAGGATGGTCTCGTGGCCAAATAAATATGTTCTTTGTGTAGTTCTTTAGATCTCTTCAGAGCCATGTGATTCCATCAGTTGTACTGTAAGCATCTGTACTTATTTTTGTCTCTTTCTGTCAAGTTAAAGTAAGTTTCTTAACATAATGATAGCATGGACCCTCCTACCTGATCATTAGTTTGTCTTGTAAAGAATGCTGATATTATTCTAGAATGGCACTTTTTTAATTAAACTGTTTTGATTATGCTTATGATACACAGTTATGATTAAGAAGTGCTGTAAATTGTCTTAAGAGTTTTGCACTTCCTCTGGAACTTTCTCCAACAGGGTTCTTCAGAAAATGGTGATCTCTCTTGACAAGTAACTTTCTTTACAACCACATTCAGCTTGAACAGCCCATGCTGTGACAGTTAATAATTATTATGTACTTTCTCTACTTCACAGTAGTATAGCAGCAGAACTGGTTCCAGAGTGGTATGCTTTTCAGTGCAGTAAGAAATATGCTAAGAACAGCTATATGTGTATGTATATATTGCTGCATGGAAAGCAGCACAGAGTGGATGTGTAACTAGTACTGTGTTATCAGATGACTAAAGAAAGATTTTTAGAAGAAAGGATCAGGGAAAACGGTCCTTTCAAATTAACACCCAAGTCTGTGTTGCAATACCTGCTCCCTACTATATTGAGAGTGTTAGTTTCAGTACTTTCTTTTTATTCTTGAAATTCTGGCAACAGTTTTAGAGCATGACACAAATTATCTTTTAGGTATGATCCGAAAACAGATATGTGGACTGCTGTGGCTTCTATGAGCATTAGCAGAGATGCAGTGGGAGTATGCCTTCTTGGTGACAAGTTGTATGCTGTTGGGGGATATGATGGTCAAACATACCTTAACACAGTGGAGTCTTACGATCCCCAGACAAATGAATGGACACAGGTATAGTTTCTGATTAGAACATGCTATACATTTATTTCAAGTGTGACTCTTTTTGCAAAGAGAATACTCCTTTTCTATGAAAAACTCTTGTTAGTCCCCCACTCTTCTGCTCCTCCCCCCCATTTTTTTTCAAGCTGATTTACCTTGAACAGACAGTTGTTAAAGTCTGAATTTTGGGCCAGTATTATATGTTTGTTTATTTTAAGTCAAGATAACAGAGTGTGTGGATGGTACTACCTCTCTGCTGCAGCTGTGCAACCATTATTACAAACATCAAACATAGTCAATCTTAAGAAAAAAGATTAAAACCTGACTACACTACTCTAATGAATGTGTGTTTTTGCTTACAGGTTGCACCGTTGTGCTTAGGAAGAGCTGGAGCATGTGTTGTGACTGTGAAACTATAGGTTGTTTTCTTTGAGAAGGTGAATTTCTCCACTACGACAGACTCGGCTGATATCTTTTTTCCTCAAGCCAGTTAAGAATATGAGGTGCAGGATATCTACAACAACAAAGTGTTTGGTCTCCGGCCTACATACGTATTATTCTTTTGGACCAATATTAAGCACTTTCTAAAGAATTATCTTTGTTACCTGCACATTGGAAGAGTTACAAGCAAATCAGCTGCAACCAAGATGTTGCCGGCAAGGGATCTCCATTGAGGAAATACTAAGAAATGAGTGAACTTATTGTGAACTCACTGGGATAATCAAATGTTATTGATTTATGGCCTTGACTCCTCAAACATGCAGAGAAATGATGCCATTAATAAATACAGTTCCACCGATACAATTGAGGACACCTCTGGGTGAAGCGAGTTACAGAATTTAACCCCGTATATTTAATTTGCCTATAATAAACATGTTTTTCTGTGGGTATCTGAGGTATTACAGTGCAGGCTGACAAACCAATGCAAACCATTGTAAATGGCAGGTGTAATGCTTGCCTTAAAAATGAAGTTGTGTATTTGGTGAATATTTGCACTTTTACCATCATTCCTAGTTTAGAAATATTTTTATTTAACCAAAGCCTTATTTTAAATATTGTCTTATAATGCTAACAGAAATCTGCTATTTAATTATGTCTGCAGGAGGTTTCTGAAATCCAGTGTACTACTTGGATATTCGAAGGTTTTCCATAAGATGGAGAACATTGTACCTTTTCTCTAATTTGGTTTTTATATTTACATTGCTATTTTTAAGATAAACTCTATAAGCATGAGTAACTAGTGGGAAGAATTCTGAAGTGTGATTAGAAGTTAACCAATTTAGTAAGAGCACTTTGAATTTTTCAAAGCATTCCATTGCAAATAGACTAAGAGTCTACATTGATTCTCAATATGTTTTACATGAGGCTTTGCACTAATGTGAAAGGTATAATTTTATAAGATGAAATGAAGCAATCGTCTGTCTTTTTCTCCAGCGAGGTTACTTCAAAATGCAAAGAGCCAAGCTGCCGTATGAGCATGTTCAGCATCTTGTAGGAGAGTTGTGTATGCCTCACAGGATTTATTTTTTTCTTTCCAAATGCTTTATCATTTGCCTTTTTTGACTCCTACGCTCTGCCACACACTGTTTGAACAGTCTGAATGTTCTCTGGAAGTCTCTTTGTATTTGCTTTTCTGTGCCTTGTTCCTTCTGTTTTCAAAGTGGCGGGCAGCGTGGCGTGCTGCTTCCTGCCGGAGCGACGAGCTGTGAGCTCACAGAATGTTTTCCAGGAGTGTGAAGTGTCCGACACCCAAAGTCTTTGTACATTTGTAATTTTAAATTTCATGTGTTCATGCTCTCGACGAACTATTTATTGGTTTAAAGGCAATTACTAAGCGGTGAAACTTGGTGTTGAAACCTGCTTTGTTCGAAATTGAATACAGCTGAACTTAAATGCGCTTTCAATGGGTTGGTGCCTTTTTTTTCTTAGATATGTCGATTTTGCGTACCCGAGTCTGCACCTTTAATTAAGAAAGGTTGTTTTTACAGCACGCCTTCGTTGTACGCGCTTTACGAAACCGCCCTTTTCCCTCTGCGCGTACGCGGCTCCCCACTCCGCACGGCGGCGTACGCTACCGGCCACGCGGCGCTGCCGGAGGGATCTCCGCTTTCCCATTGGCTCGGGCGAGCGGCCCCGCCTTCCGCCTCTGATTGGCTGCGGTCTTCTCGTTTCCGCGGTGACACGGACGCCGGGGCGGGAGGGTTCGGGTTTCCCTCTCAGCTGGGGTCGAGGGTTGCGCATGCGCGCGGGGCGCTGCGCGGCGAGCGGTGGGCGCGATGAAGGTAAGTCCGCCCGGCCGCCGTACGCGGGGAGGCGTTCGCTGATGGGATCTCGGCCTCGAGGGCGGCGGCGTCAACCAGGGCGAGCGGGTGACGAAGTTCGTACTCCGCGCCGCCTCGGCCGCCTCGGTGCGGTTCTTGAGGCCTATGAGGGGCGCGCGGGGCGCTCTCAGCCGTGGCAGTCCCGGGCTGTGGAGCCGTTACCGCTGGCCGCCGCCTTGGTAACGGCCCTCATGCTGCCCCGCTGTGCTCCTGTCCGCCCGCGGCGGGGAACGCTTCTTGCTCGCGATTAGGGGTCGGGTGACCTGCGGGGAGCTGGAGCTGGCCGCCGGTTTACTGAGTGTTTCATTAAAATGGCTTCAAAGCGGAACGCGGTTGTCAGGCGTCGTTTGTGCCCGTGTCACGCAACGCTCGGTTTATTGCGAGTTAGGGACCCCTGGGGAAAAAAAAACATAAACCGAACAAACATACCTGGGTGTTCAGGGATCCCCAGGCGTGGTGTTTGTCCGACGGTGTAGTAGGGGAGAAAAGGGTGAAGTTGTTGGCGTTGTCTTACAGCCAACTTACAGAACGGTCTGTGCAGATGGAGTAAAACATCGGGAAGCTGGTAAGTTCTGTGCTGAGAAATCAAAACCTTGTACAGCTGAGTTGTTTTGCAGCCCCGGTTTGACCCAACAATTTAGGGAGAGCAAAACGGCTACATGACTTTAAAAAACTAGATACTGGGCTCTGTTTTGCTGTCCCCTGTGACTGAAGGTGCTATTTGGTCCTATGCTTCTCCATAAAATTTAGAGGATTAAGTACTATGATCTTTGGTTATGAAGAAAAGAGTCTGATGCAGTCATTCAAGAGGAAGAGTGGTCCCACTGATAGGAGTCACAACAGTTCTCAGTGCAAACACCCAGCATCAGCAACTTCAATTCTTCCAGCTTAAGCCAAAAGATTATTCTCTTCAATTTTGATACTTTGATACATTAGAATCATCTGGAAGCTGGTGGTGTTTTTTTCATGGGGGAAATTCCAATATTGTTTTAAGCTTATGATGGTAACGTGTCATTTACCCTTTTTTTTTTTCTTTTTTTTTTTTTTTTATCTGTGTGTGTCTCCAGCAAGTATTCAGTCTATTAGAAAAAGCTTGGTCTGGTTCCTCAGTGCATTTTGCTTGGCAGAAAACTCTGGGACATTTCCTTGCTGTAACAGGGTAAGATTGCAGATATTTACTGTATTTTCCACAGTAATCATTGAGAGTAGAGCCAAAAAAAAAACAGTTGTTAAGTAAATCTGAACCAAAGCAAAATGTCTTACAGTTGCATATACATGATACTTCTGAGCTGTGTTACTGTAATTATAAAATCTCAATGTAGGAAAAGTTTTTATTTGTAACTTGATGAAGAATAGACGATAATAGATGAAGAAAGGGAATAATTTTGTGTGTTAATCTTTTTAGAGGTGATCACACTGTGAAAATTTTTGATCGTCATGGTCAGAAGAGAAATGAAATAACTTTACCAGGGTAGGTACTAAGATGAGTTTCTGTTGTTTTTTCTTTTTTATTTTCAAAGTGTTCATGCAGTCTGAGAACTTCTTAGGAACATATGGTGGTTGTACCTAGAAAAGAAAACAAATTGATGAGTATGTATGGAATATGAGGCACTAAAATCTGAGCTATGCTAAGTTGTCAAGGATAGCTGGAAATATACATCCTCATATCTGAAGCGTTATTTATTATTGCTACTAATAATAAATAATAGAATCAATATGATTCATTAAAAATATTAGAAGATGCCTAGTATGATGGTAAGAATATAATGTGGTCATATACAGGATATCCATGTTATACTCTTTATGACTACAGTCTTGCCAGTGCCTGTTTTCTAGTGATTTGTATAGTAGTCTCGCAGAGGAATGCTATCCTGTGTTTTGGTGTCCTTTTGCTTGTATCACTGGCATAATGTATATGTTGGCATTTTTGCTTCAGGTTGGGAGTGTGCTTCTGAAGTGAATCTCCCTATTTTTCCTGCTTAATATGCTTTTGTTCACTCTGGAGAGTGATGTTTAGAGTATAGAAACTGGATTTCTCTCAGAAGAAATTTAAAAAGTGACGTCCTTTGGAAGATGTACTCTCACTGCTAAGAGGCAGCCAGTCCATCAGAACAGAGTACAGGTGGCCAGGTGTACACACTGTGACTTCATGCCCTCACATCACTGTGTTCTGTAAGTCTACTTGTGTTGGGCACCATTACCACCTGATGTAGCAGTAGGTATCTAAGAATGTAGTTCAGGATATCAAATACTTCCTGCTCTAATAGTTGATGTCACAAAGTTTCTCTTACCATTCCATTGATAGAATTTTCTTTCTTTAACTCTTATCAATTTTTTTCCTGTTTGTTTCTTTTTGTCCTTTTTATTCCCATTCTTGATGTTCTGATTGGCTCGTAAGTGTTCATACATGTGTTTTGGGAATAGACAACTTTGTTTTTTCCAGACTAACCCCAGGAAGATTTTTAAAAAGGAGAACTTGAGTTGGAGGCTTATTGAGTTCATTTGTAGCAGTGTAAGTTTCAGCAGGACGCTTCTAAAGTTGCTTGTATTAGGAGTTTTAATCTGAGTAACAAGAACTAAGGCTTTCAAGGTAACGCCTTTTGAACCAGAAGCTGTGAACTTACATAGTGGAAAGAGAGTCTGCAGTATATGGTACTTTATATGTGTGTGGTAAACAGTTCAGTTTCCAGTTCATCAGAAACTCTTGGATAAACCTGTTCAGATCATTCTGGGAACAATTTGCTGAAGGATTTTCCTGCTTCTGAAAGACTTTCTTATCCAGGGTCATTACACTTATTGAAGTAGAAGAAAAAATACCAACAATGAATGGAGTCTAAGAAGATAGGACCTTACAGGAGGTTTTCACTCTCTCTTGAAAATCCAAGTGGCGATATTTCAAGTGCTTCAGCTTGTGTCATTTTTATGAGATTTGAGTGTGGGCACGGCTGCTACAAAAATACACTTTCCAGATAAGTCTGTCGTGGGCTTGCTTGGTAGGAAAGGGGAAGGACAGGTACTTCAACTGCAGAATTACAGCTGTCTTTGTATACTTTTAAGCATAGTTTAATGTAATTAACAAAACTATGTTTTTTCTTCAGTAACTGTGTTGCTATGGACTGGGATAAGGATGGAGATACCTTAGCAATAATTGCAGACAGATGTAGTGCCATTTTTCTCTGGGATGCCAACACAAGCAAAACAAGCCAATTAGACAGTGGCATGAGGTAAGAGAGTTGTTTGTTTGTTTGTTTTTAAGAGGTGTTTTTGAAGACTTAGACCACTGTGAGCTGCAGCAGCAGCTTATTCCGTTACCTCATACAACTTTTTATTACTTCCATTATTTTGTGCACACTCAGGTAGTTCTGATACTTGTTTGTAGAGACTTTGTGCTTCCTTTAGAAGTTCTGCTTTGGTGTGTATGGTTTCATAAAACTTCAAAACATGTATGCAAGTATGACCTCGTTGTGGCCTTCCAATATTTGAAGGGAGCATTTAAGCGGGAGGGGGTACGACTGTTTACATGGGTTGATAGTGATAGGACAAGGGGATTTTAAACTGTGACAGGGAAGGTTTAGTTTGGATATTAGGAGGAAGTTTTTCACACAGAGGGTGGTGAGGCACTGGAACAGGTTGCCCAAGGAAGGTGTGGATGCCCCATCCCTGGAGGCATTCAAGGCCAGGCTGGATGTGGCTCTGGGCAGCCTGGTCTGGTGGCTGGTGACCCTGCACATAGCAGGGGGTTGAAACTGGATGATCATTGTGGTCCTTTTCAACCCAGGCCATCCTATGATCCTATGAAAATGTTTTTGTAAGGACACAAAAGGAATCCATTATGGAAAATAATAATTTTCTTTATTTTAGGGATTCATTGTCTTTCCTATTATGGTCTCGAGTAGGAGCTTTACTCGCCGTTGGAACGACTAAGGGAAACTTACTTATATATAACCGTCAGACATCTCGCAAGATTCCTATTCTTGGTATGCATTGTTTTGAACCTGGGCTTGCACTTTGGAATGGTGGAGTTTTGTTAATATGCCTACTTTTTTTGTTCTGTGTGAGAATATGCAAATCAAAAATTACGTTTAACTTTCATCATCTATTTTGTTGTTGTTACTGGAGTATTTCTGTGGTTCAGTGTGTTAGCCGTGTAAGACACCTGTGGACAGAAAAATTAAGGGTAGAAATTTAATTTAAATAAAAGGAAGAACAGGGGCTGTGCAAGTTCCTGGAAGGTCAAAACACTTCCATCTAGGATTGAAAGGTTAAAAATTAAAATTTGACTATTGAATTTTAAGTTTCTTCGCATTCTGATAATCTGCATTTGAGTGGCCAAATACAGTGTATTTCTGAACCAGATTTTTTGTTTTGTTTTGTTCATTTGTGTTGTATGTTTCTTTTCCAGGTAAGCACACTAAGCGAATTACTTGTGGTTGTTGGAGCACTGAAAACCTCTTGGCTCTGGGTGGTGAAGACAAAATGATTACTATAAGCAATCAGGAAGGGGATACTATAAGACAGGTAGTGTTTATAATCTCTGATTTTAAGACATACATGGATACCCCTGGTTCTTGGGAGAGCTAGAGAGCTACAGTGTAAGGGGTGTTGATGCTTTGTTCCATATCTCTTCTTTCAGGGACAAGGAGGCTTTGAGAAAACTTATAACAGGAGGAGTGCAGATCTAAATGTTTGAACGTGTGTGTTATGCAGCATAATTGATGGTATTAGGATCTTGATAGCTCTGCTTCTCTTATCTGTTATCCTGGCCTATATCTTTTACAGGAGAATCCTAGGAGTGCAATTTTAAGTTGACTTGCTCAGTAGCAGCACACAACAGGTCTCTCACAACTGTTTATAAAGTCTTTAGAGTTTGTTTTGCTTTAGATTGGTTAAATAAGGATCTTGCCTCTGGTATTCAGTGATTTCTTCCAGGCTGGCCCTCTCACATCCTTGAGAGGCTAATTTCAGTGTTTCCTGTAAGTATATTCAGATTCTCTTCTCAAGCATTCCATTTGCTTGCACAGATGAGTCCTTCCAAGCAATGACAGTTGCTGCACAATATGCAAATGAATATAATTCTCTTTCTACATTTAACAAATGCTGTTTCACTCATGGTTTTCAAAGGTCTTTCGTAGCTCACTTCATACGCTTCCATCTTTATGTCTGAAGGCCAACGTGGATGAAGAAATAATAAATTAAGTTTTTAGGATGTGTCTGTACTTTAACCTAGCTAGCTTCAGTAGGAGAAGCAGTGTAGTTCAGACAGCAAAGACAAAACAAGGTTTCCTTATGAGGTTTTCTAACCTCATATTGACTACAAAAGTAACTACTTTGCTGTCACTGCATGGACCAGGTGGTTTTTATTATTGCTGTTATACATTGTAAATATTGCATATATCATTTATGGTGATTATTCTCTCTGATACTGCACTGCAATAATCTTGTTTCTATTGTATCAGTTAGTGCTGTTTGTAAAACATTGTTGTGCAGAGCTTCCTATTCATTTGGATCTTTCCCTATCTAAATTTCTAACTTTTTAAGATACTTTCAGCATCATTCATGGTAACACATCCTTATGATTCAAACTAATTTCATGTTTTTTTCAACTTTTTTCATTTTTGTTACTAAATGCTGTAGCAATTCTTAATGTTTAAATATACAGAGCAGAAATAATGCAGTTATTTATCGTTGATATTTGCTGCATTGTGTACTGATTTTTCAATCTGAATTTCTTTCTTGCAGACCTCAGTGAGTTCAGATCCCAGTGATATGCAGTTCTCAGTTATGAAGACTGATGAAAGAACATCAACCAGGGAAAGCACAGTAAGAAGTCAATACAAAATCCTGCAAAAAGTGTTTATTTGATGTTTCAGGGTTTCTGCTAGTAACCAGTGTTGGCCAGAAAGTAATTTTACTTCTTCCTTGACTCAGTACTTTACTTTGAAGCTTTAATTCTCCCTATCTCCCCCCCACCCCAGGTACCTTTATTTTCAAGCTTTGCCCCTTTGCTCATTAAGGATGTGTCCATGAAAACATGGTGGCTAGCAGTAAGACAAATGACAGTAGTTTTGCAGTAATTTTAAACACAATAGACAGAGGTAAGTGTGAGTACTTAAAATACCCAATATAACTGTGCAACGGTGCATGCAGTGGTACGTGGGAAACAGGGAAAGTCTCAACTATGGAGATGGTTTTCAGCAGTCAATTTTGGAAACAGATCAGCACTCATTGGGTTTTTGTCTTGTGCAAATCTCAGTGTTGATGAGCCTAGAAAGCCATCTGTTAAACCTCTCCTATAAACACGATGCTCTCTCTAAATGGCTACACTTCCAGTGACTTCGTAATCTTTCTTGAGGGAGTCAAGTTCCATTGGATCCATCAGTGATGAAGTACAGAAAAATGGGGTAATGATGAGTGTAGCAGCACATATTAGTAAGTGATCAGTAACAAAGTACCAAAATGAGACAGAAAATTCATGGATAGCAAAGTGATACTGTGTTTACAATTAGTCCAGATGTTATACTTAAATATGGACAGCATAATTAAAATTTCACAGTCAGATATAATCTATGCAGGATAGAATTTCTCCTGTATTATATTGACAAGGACTTGCAGGAGTGTTTTTCTTCTCTGCATGAAGTGCTTTCTCTTCCTAGGGAAATTTTAATTAACAAATATTTTGAAAATGCAGGAACTTTGTCACTTTAATTTTCCCTGCTACTCTGGGGTGTGCAATATCCTAGGCTTTTCCATTACTGTTTTTTATTACAGCTCTCAAGTTTGCTGTAGAATGTTGAGGAAGATCTCTAAGCCTGTAGTTCTTGGTGTTAGACTTGAATAGTCCGTCAGCAGTTTAAACCAGATAGCATTTATTATCTGCTCTTGTAGAAAGTTTGGCTTGATAATGATCACTTCCATTCTTTTACTTACGACACTGGAAAAAAAAGCCCTTCAAGTTGGAGCAAAGTAAGCAGTGTGTTAACATGCATCACAATATAAAACAATTCTTGTACTTTTCTAAGAGAGTTTAAGAAATTGTATTTCTTAAACGTTTCATTGTTAATTTGCAGTGGAGTTATAAGCAAACTACCTCAAGTGACAGAAATAAGATTTTAAATTTGAGGTTAATTTAGGATTTACAGGGCAGACTTTAAGTTTGTACTTCTGAATTAATGGATTTTTAGGTAATTTTTTTTCTCAATTTGAAAATACCTCCTATTTCAAAGTACAGCTCTGTATTTTAACCTTCCAGCTCTTTACAAAAATAGTCTTCTTTTTAGACAAGGAACAAAATTTTAGACTAGAACAAAATTAACTTGTAAGCAGCCTGTCAAAATTCTTCATTAAAGAATAAGGTGAAACAATTTCTCCTTCCTTTCTTTTTTCTAAAATTAGTGTTTTACTTTTGTCTAACAGTCACATGCTCTGGTAGCAAAAAAGGTATTAAATAGTAGTTCACTCAACCTCTCTTCAACTCTGAAGTCCAGCAATGATCCAGGTTTCATCAAATTAAATGATATACCTAGACTGATAACAAACTGAAAAGATGTGTGTAAAGAAAGCTGAGCAGACTTTCTTACTTGAAATAGCAACATTCTGATAGTCTTCCCTTCAGCTTTCCAGGTAGAAGTTCTGTGGATCAAAAAACACATTGTAGTGCAAGTGAGAGTAGTCCAACAAGATGCATGTGATCTCCTGTCTTTCCTCAGAAGAAGTGGGGCTCTCCTATTGCTTTTGCAGGGACAAGTGCTGAATTTGAGATGTGTGTTCTACTGGGCTTGCATTTAGAACTGTGAACCACTGGCTCACAAGGGAATAGCCTGAAAATCTCTTCCATTATTAATAAGGATTCAGGATTCAAATTCATAGCATTCTTAAGGATTATTGTAAGTTCCAAATCTCATCTTTTAGTGAGGGTGTTGAGCCTTATTTTAATGTGACTCTATTCCTCCTGAGTTAATTTTTTCTTTTCATTCATTGGCAGGTAAGTGTAGTGGTTGGCAAGAAGACTCTCTTTCTTTTTAATTTGAATGATCCTGATAACCCAATTGATCTGAAATTTCAGCAGCCTTATGGCAGTATTGTAACCTACAGATGGTAAGCAGAGCTTCCTTAATGCAGCATTCTCATATTAACAAGCTGAAAGATTTCCTCAGTCGTTCTGATAAATGCTGAAAATGAAAACATGTATCCACTGCTCACAACGAACTTTTCTTAAATGTATGAAGCTAGGTTTTCTAATTTTTAACAATTCAATGGCTGAGAAGGTAGGATTGCCAAAAATGTAATTGCCCCTGGTATGTTCTGCTTTAGAATGGTAATACTGTTACTGTCCTGACAATAGATAAAATTGAGGGCTCAGTAGGTTTGGGTGAGTTGCTAGTGGAAGAGCTATGGTGGAGTTGCATCTTTCAGCTACTTTGTTTACAAAGTTAGGTAATGTTTTTGTAGCTCCCCTGCTAGGTGATATTCCTTTGCAGAAATTCTGAGCTAGAAGTTTCAGCTCTGCACCCAGAAGTAGCTGTGCTGTTTCTGTATTTTTGAATTGTGACACGGTGTCTGTTCAGTCAATGTGCTGTTAACATTTAATGCTTACGCTTAAATTCTGTAGCTGAATGTTCTTTATTTTGGGGCACCTGACAAGGTGTGCCCAGGTTTTTTCCTTTGTAATATTGTATTTTTTCCCAACTAAGCAGATGAGACATTTGTTTGGATTAACCTTGGCATGCTTGTAACTATTTCTGTTTTAACCTGCTTATTTGTACTTGACACCGTGAATATGAAACTATCTATTCACAAACGCACACTCTGGCTTTACTGCTGTTTGTAGCAGTGTGCCTTAAGGGCTGAATGACTGCCATTATTATTTTTAGCATAGCTTTGATAAAAACGGACTCAGCAATAACCTTGAAATTGAAGTTTCCACCTCCTGGCACGTTTATACTAATGAAGATACCAAAGTTCTTTCTCCTAGCATCACTGCCATGTATGCTGCTTGCAGAAAGTAAAGGGGCACAAAAGAATGTAGAAGAGAGGATAAAAGAGGATTTGGGATTGAATGCTGAGCACCCTTGTGTGACAAATTTGTATTTGTTCTTTAGGAATCTTTGATTGCTTTTTCCTTAATCTGTATTATACCCTGTTGTTCTACATGATATGTATGGATTCCCATAACTTGATTATTTTTCCCTTTAGAAAGAGGGGTTGACAGATTACCTCAGTAGCCTGAAAGAAAATGCATTTTGCATAATACATAAATAAATCTCTTTTGTTATTTTTTTTTTCCTTTTATCAGGTATGGTGATGGCTACATTATGATTGGTTTCTCACGAGGGTGTTTTGTAGTCATCTCTACACACATGCGTGAGATAGGTCAAGAAATCTTTCAAGCTCACAATCATAAAGATAATCTAAGCAGCATCGCTATATCACAGTCATTAAACAAAGCTGCATCAGGTGGTGACAATTGGTAAGTGACCGTTTTTATTCATAAAGAATAGACTTCATCTCATGTAATTCTAGCTGTTTGGCATTAGAGCTAGTCTTCAAGGCTTCCAAAGAAGTCTGTGAAGAGAAGATGAGAAGAATTGCTCTCTGGAACTGCCTCTTTGCCTAAAGGTAGAAGAAGCTAATCTTGACCAATATCTCTGCACTTTCACTTAACTTTATTGTCATTAATTGTGTTTTTAGGGTTGTTTTGTTTTTTTCAAGTAGATAAAATTCAATACTGATTCTTTTTCTAATCTGTTATTCATCAACTGAAAAGTCCTAATTTCTTTACTATGGTTGATTGGACATAGATGCTTAGCAACGTAACTATTCATTTAAATCTGTACTGAATGTACTGATAACCTGATAACTTCTGCCACTTGGTCTTAACTGCAATCTAGAGGAAAGTATAAATGTGCAAGCAATTCAGGAGAAAGTAGTTATAGACTGGAGTTCTTCCAAAATATATTGTGCATATGATAGAACATGCCCTACAGCTCCTCTTCCACTACTTCCTGTTCCTGTAATAACTAAATTCTTCGGTGGAGAAGAAGCTGAGGGACAGCAGTAGTCTGTTCTGTCCTCAGTTCTCCGTGTGACCTTACAGGCTGTTGATTTAAGACACTTGCACATTGAGAGTTAGATACCTATGAGAAAAGCATGGTACAACTCCACATCAGTTGTACAATAAGTATGGTTTTTTAAACCATTCTTTCACACATACTAGGTAACATGAAAGCACATGAAAGCTATCAGTCTCTTCACTCCACGTGTGTGTACATTGCTCTTTAGGAAATTTTAGATATTCTGCATTTGTGCTCTCATTTTGTTCCATTAGGCTGTCTTAACTGGGTTGGGTTGAGTTTCTTACAATTTATGGTGACTGAGAATTATGTGAGTGAGAAAGACTGTTTATTTTTGTTTTAGCATTAAAATTCATGATCTGTCAGACCTGAGAAAGATGTATGCCATAATAAACTTGGATGATGAAAACAAAGGTATGTTAGTAATTTCCTTGAGGGTGGCAATTTTTATAAATCAGGTAAAAAATAGAACTTTGTGCTTGTTTACATGTATGTATTAAAAAAAGTATTGTTGAAAAACTATGTAGAAATGGAATTTATTACGAAGTTTTTATTTCCCACCTAATATGCATTAGGTGATCTGCAGCAAAAATGAGAACATACGGTTATTTTTTGAAAGCTTTATTTTATCTTTTTGAGGAACAGAGAAGTGCAGCTCGAAGAATATTTGATCAGTCAGAGTTTGTTAGGTTTTAGGCTTGTGACGTTTTTGTGCAAGTTTGTGTTTTTTCATCTGCAATATGGTATATTCAGATAATAGGATAATGCAGATTGTTTACTACTTCTTTCCATGTTTTTTGGGTGGGTGAATTTCTTAATGCTCTTCTGCATCTCATTTACTTATTGGGGATGATACTTAATCTGGTACACAAGTTTTCCTCCAGTGGCTTCCAGAACATTCTTATGAGGCAGTGTTCTTAGGTAGTGAGTTACCACTATTATATTGTGTATCTGAAAGTATTTCAGTCAAGTCTTTACTCTTAGGAAGATGCTAAATTAGTGAATTTTGGGTTTTCTCCGAATGATTCTATTTTATCTTGGAAATATTTTAATTGGTTTGGTTTGAATACATTAGTACCTATATTCCTAGGTGTGAATTCCTCCTACTGTTACATTTCAAAGTGAAAACATTGCTTCTTTGTTTCATTTCAGTAGCCAAAGAAATGATCTTTTGCCAAAACTTGTAAATGTTTTAGGTGTCAATCAGCTGGCTTGGACAGATGATGGACAGCTGTTGGCAGTATCTACACGAAGAGCATCCCTGCATGTTTTCTTGACAAAGCTTCCAGTCCTTGGTGATACTTGCAGTACGCGGATTGCTTACCTCACTTCTCTTCTTGAAGTTACTGTAGCCAATCATGTGGAGAGAGTATGATAACCTTTTCCTTTTAAACTTCGTTTGGATAAAAGGAGAGTAAGAACGACTAATGGATGGAAACTGATACTGCTTTTCTTACAGGAGCTACCAGTTACTGTCTCTGTTGAAGTAGAGCCCAGTTTCATTGCTGTTGGTGTTTATCATTTGGCTGTAGGAATGAACAATCGGGCTTGGTTTTATTTGCTTGGAGAAAACAGTAAGCATTAATTTCATTCTCTTATTTGAAGCAGCCACATCGTTGCTTGTCTTTTTTAATGAATGTGGCATTATGCTTAGAAGTGCTGGACATTCTGCATTGTGCAATTAAAAAGAATGAATTACCAAATATCCCTATTAGGACAAAATAATGATTTTCCCAAACTGAAGAAGTTATTACAAGACATTGTAATTAAATGAAATAAAACTTCAAGTTCCGGATATTGGTAATGAAATGTTGAATGTTTCTCTCTCTCTGTAGACGTGAAAAAGCTTAAAGATGCAGAGTATCTGGGTACAGTAGCAAGCATGCATCTTAATTCTGATTACGCTGCTGCTCTCTTTGAGGGTAAAGTCCAGTTGCATATGGTAAGAGCTCAGTCAGTTTGGATTTCTGAATTAGTAGATTAAAGCTTGAACAAGTTCAAGAAATCTTTAAAATGAGATAAAGTGGAGTAATCTTCTGTTAATGGAGATAGAAATAAAGTTCTTTATTTTCTATGCTGGCTAATGAAAATATAAAACTGATTTTCTGGAAACTTTAGAAATATAAGCTAGTCTAGAACAAGTGAGAGAAGCTGTTTTCTTGTGAATTGTTTGTGTGATAGGAAACTCATTTCTGGACAGCTTGATACAGGCAAAACTCTGATATCAACAGTGTAGTTACAGTGCAGACTTTTAAGTTCATTTTTTTCTTATGTTTAGATAGAAGGTGAAGGTGTGGACGCTCAGGAAGAAAGAGAAACTCGACTCTTCCCAGCAGATGATGATAAATACCGAATTTTGTGCCATGCTTTAACTGGTGACTTCCTCATATACGGCACAGACGTGAGTATTATCTCTGTTCTTAAGGATCTTTTAAAATTGAATATATTTCTGTTCAAATGATTTGAATTATTATCATTTTTTGAAGAAAAAATGATGTTACTGAGAAATTCGCTTTGAATTATTTTCTCTGCAAAATTGCATCCAACTTTCCCTTACAGTTGCACTTATATGAGATGTTTTGGCAGGAATGTTGTCTTACTAATGTTTGGTTCAAAACACTGCTTTTTAGTAGCAGAATTTAATTTTGTTGTAGTAGTGAGATAATTGGCAGTCAAAGTATCTTCCAGATATAAGAAAAAAAGTATAGGGCTTATTTTGAATATATTGATTCAAGTGGTAACATGATAGATGTGGACTCAAAGATAATGAGGTAAGCAAGTGTTATAGTGTAAATGTAGGTCTCAGCTTACTATTGAACCATTTGACAGATGATAGGGATTTTTGTTTTTTATTTTTGTAAGTGTTTCAACAGGAGAAAAAATTAGGAGGACACTGAAGAATAATGTGAAAATGGACTTTTCAGGAGATTTTCCTCTGTATGAGGCATATTTTTTTTTTGTTTTAGTATTTTCTGCTGCAGGGAATACAGGGCACATTTGACATTGTACTGTGCTCTTTCTGACACATGGTGATGTCCTGACCTTTCAGAAGAAAGACAGAGCTGCTTTCTCTGCTCTTATCACTGATTTACTAGTTTGAATGGTTTTGTAGCAGTTGAGGGCTTTCCTGTTTCCTCAGGTGCCTTTTTAGCTAGTTAAAACTAGTACTGATAAATTTTAAATGCTGAATTTGGAACTGATCAATTTGGTGTGTGCAAGTTTTACAGTTGACTTCAAAAGCCACCTTTTAGTTCTGGTGTTCTTGTTTGTGCAACACTAATTGAGAAATAGTGTTTATCACCAGTGAATTGGGTTGTTTTTTTCCCCTGTATTGGGTAAACCTGTACTTAAGGATTTCTGTTTCTTCTTGGGAGGCAAATTATTCAGCATTGGTTGAAGGCTAAATTTCTTTCAAGAAAGAAGCAGGCATTTCCCCTCATTTCAGAATTGCACTGTACTGTCTCTACAAAGCTCAGTGAGTTTTCCTCCCTCTTTCCTAAAACTATTTCATGGTTATCTTCAGCTTGAAGGCAAGTGAAGGAAAAAGTGGTTAACTGTGCTCTTAAATGAGGACATCCAAAGGTTATTTGAATTAGTTAAAATCTCTGGATTCTTAGTTTATTTCTGGGTATTTTTTGATCACAGCTAGTTAATGATAGAACTAGTGCTAGTTAGAGAAATAAGAAATAATAAACAGCTGTTCCACTCTCCTGTTACAGTAATATAGATATTCATATTTTTTCATTGGAAAAGGCAGGAAGTGAGTTAGTGAGGTAGTTTTTTTTTCTTTCAAATAAAAAGACCCTCCATTTTTTTAATCCCACTCCCAAAAAGCCTCAAGTTTTCCTATACTGCCTACTAATGTCCGGCAATGAGGAAAAAAGTCAAAAGAAACCTGGAAGTGCTGTTTTGTTTACATGTTCTTCATACTCAGATCTCTAAGATAGGAAAAAAAATCACCACAATCAAATTCATTATCTACTTGCCATTTACTAGTGTCAATATTAGCCTTTTCTGGTTTTTTTTCCTCATTAGACTGGAGTCATTCATTATTTCTACATTGAAGACTGGCAATATGTGAATGAATATCGTCATCCTGTCAGCGTGAGAAAAATTTTTCCAGATCCTAATGGAACCAGACTGGCTTTCATAGATGAAAAAAGTGATGGCTTTGTCTATTGTCCAGTAAGTTAATGTGGGATAGCTGTGCCCTAATATTTACAAGTTAGGTCTCCAACTATCTTGTAAAATGTGTTTTATAGAGAATGATAAAACTTCTGTTACTCAACACATATGCTAGAAGAAATTGCCAAAAAGGCTTGAATGGTAATGTAAAGAATAGTAATGTAAAGAAATAAAATGTGTCATAGTAGATCAGGGTAATTTAATTATGGTAAATGCCTTTCAGATATTATATATTAGTGTATTCCAGTACTGATATTTTAGCTAATGTTAAAGTGCTACCTTTCAGTTCACTGCCTGTACCATTGCTCTTCTTCCAAGGAAAGTAAATATGCTTGTGACATGTATTTTCTCCACTTACTTCCTTTCTGAATTAAACAATTATGCTATTCAGAGTCACTGCTCATAAGAAAACTTCTTGTAATAAGAATTTCATATTTCTGCTATTCTTCTATTCCTCTATTCTTAATCATTACCTGAATGAAAATTTAGTTCTTTTCATTAGTCTTGCTTCCTTGTGACTTTACTTCTGCATTCTTCCCAGGTAAATGATAGAATATACGAGATTCCAAATTTCTCACCAACCATTAAAGGAATCCTGTGGGAAAACTGGCCAATGGATAAAGGTGTTTTTGTTGCTTATGATGATGATAAAGTGTACACTTATGTCTTTCATAAAGATGCCATTCAAGGTACTGCAAATGCTTTGAAAATATCGTCAATTACTTCAGTTATTAAAGTAAAACACGTTCTGTTTTTGATTTGTGCTAAATATTTCCACAACTGCATATGAAAATGAACAGTACAGAGGTTTTGAAGTGTTAACTCTCTAATAAAAAAAGTAACTGCTGTGTAGGTTTCTCTGCAAATTTCCAGCAAGAGACATTTTGATTTTAACCCTTCAAGCTTCTTGCTCCTGCACTCTTTTGTCTGATAATTGCACTCTATGCTTCAATTGTATTTTGTATTTTGCAAGAGAAGCTCTTAGGATCAGATGATAAAACTTCTATTCACTTATAGTATTAACCAAAAATGTATCCATAGCTATTTCTACATGAGTGGCAAGTGCCTACAGATTTATCTACCAACATTTGGAAAATTATTTTTATCGTTTATAATTTTTAACTTTTTCTATTTCACTGGCAAATGTACTCTTTTACAGTAGATTGTAACTATCAGAATTAGAGACCTTGAGTTAATAGCCAGCAACCTTGACCAGTTACCACATTTTTTCCCAAGTAGGGCTTTCTTAAATGATGCCTTCTTTCTTCCCAATCTTTGAATCTAGGATCGAAGATTATATTGGCAGGTGGTACAGAAGTCCCCTTTTCCCAAAAACCTTTGCTGTTGTATAATGGAGAATTAACTTGTCAGACTCAGAGTGGGAAAACAAACAATATCTATCTCAGTACTCACAGTTTCCTTGGAGATTTGAAAGACTTTGGACCTAATGAGCTGGCACAAATGCTTACTCAAGCGTTAATGTTGAAAAGGTACATCTGTGTTTTAATTCTATTGTGTAAATATTTTTTTCTGTGCTTATAGCTCTATACAGCATAGCTGGTTATCTGAGAATGTCATGCTGAATACGGATAAATTAGATTGATCCATCAGGTCATATGATGGTGTCTGTGCAAACCAGAGTAAAAGAAATAGTGCTGCTTTCTGCTTTTCCACTGTCAAGTAGAAGTAATTTGTTCAAGACTGATTTGGGGTCCTATGACAGTGGCTCTTCCAAAACTGGCTGAAGGTTCTTCTTGCCTCACTCTTCTTCCACTGCACTGAAGCAAAGCAAAATCAGTATAATGGGAAAACTGCCAGAATAGGTGATTTCATCAAAAAGAATGGTAAAAATAGCAGAAGCAGAACTGTAAGTTATGCGTTTGCACCTCTCCTTTGTTCCTGATAATTGTCTATCTCTCCATGGCTTAGAAGTAGAGATTTTTTTGAGTTTTCTCTGTCGTAGTATCAGGGAAAAAAAGAGTAGAGAAGGAAATTTAGGTACAGGAAGTATTGGTTTTAAATTACTTTTCCCTTCATAGATTTTCTGAAGCGTGGGGGATATGTGTACTTCTGAATGACCAGTCTAGTTGGAATGAGCTGGGCAAAGCTTGCTTACATCACATGGAGGTGGATTTTGCAATACGTGTTTATCGGACGTGTGGGAATGCTGGGATGGTGATGTCACTAGAAGAAATAAAGGTAAAGCATAGTCCTTTTTAAATGGGGAGTGCTGTGGTTTAATTCTTCTTAAGAATTTCTAATTTCTTTTTTTTATTTTTTATTTTTATTTTTCTTTTTTAGATTGTGGGTGAATCTTTTTCAAGAGAGTTTGTTATAGAGCAGAAAGCATTCAAACCACAGAACTCTTGCTTGATTTCCTCTTCACATGGTTGCAGTACTTGACTGGGATGCAGAATTCTTTCCCATATTTTCTTGAAAGGAGTAGAATATACATATTCATGTGTCAGACAAGATCTCTATCCTTTGCTATTTGTAAGAGAGTGTTTAAAGCCACTTATACGTATTTTTTAAGCTGATTGTATTTAGGCATCTGAAAGTGTACACACAATAGTACCTTAAGAATATACTTCTGCAAAGTGTTGATTTTAGACAGCATTTGTGGCTTTGAGGTACAGTAAGAAAGTGAGGGTTTGTAGAGTCTGTTACACCTGTTATGTGGGGACGTGTTGCTTTACTGTGTACCAGACTGTGTTACCTGTAACTTCTGCTTTTTAATATTGTTGCACCCATTGTGTCCTTTTGCAGGGAATAGAAGATCACAACCTTTTAGCAGGACACCTTGCCATGTTTACTAGTAATTTTAACCTGGCTCAGGATTTATACTTGGCATCCTCTCGTCCTATTTCTGCACTTGAGGTATTCAAAATGAGTAAATATTTTGTATGCAGTTTTCTTCACCTTAATGTTGGAATATTTTACCTTCTGGTAATTCTGCCCTCTGTGGTTTTGTTCTTGCTATTGTGTGACTTGCAGACACTCTCTTTTAAGATAAATGTAGCTCTCTCAAATAGTCTACATCCTACTAGAATACTAGCTCTATAATTGCATTTAGACTAATGTAAAGTTCATATTACAATTCAGAATTTGATGTCTCCATCAGAAAATGATGCTCTTCTTTGTTAATAGATGCGAAAAGACTTGCAGCACTGGGACAGTGCACTTCAGCTGGCTAAGTGTTTGGCTCCAGACCAAATCCCATTCATATCAAGGGAATATGCACTGCAACTTGAATTCACGTAAGTTCTCCTGTAAAACTGTAGTGTAAGAACATGAAAACCAAAGCTCGTGCTGACTAGAACATGCCATTGAGATACTGTAGCTAAGAAAGCTCAGCTGTAATGCTGAGTTACCAGTTTTTGCAGCTGGAAGACCAGAAGAAAAGTTTTGTAGAAATGCTTCATGCTCGAGGCATAGGTTAGCAAGTAGTAGTGATTTTTGATTGATTACAGTATATTTATATTCTTTTTGAATGGTGGGTCCACTATGTAATATCATCTCCTAAATAAGTACTTTGTTGCATGTGAGCATTTGGAAAATAGAGAAAATTCATAGTGTTTAAGACTATTTGCATTGGACAAAAGCCTCGCTTAAAACTTTTGCTTGTTTTTCCTTCAATACTCAAGCCTTCATATTCTTACATTTTAGATAGGAGTGTGTCAGATTTCAGGCCTGACAGTCCTCAAAAGAGAATTATTAACCGTTTGCTGTGATATTAAGTCTGTATTGTGGCTCTGCAGATGAAACTCAGTCAGCTTAACATCTAACCTGAGGGGAAAAGCTCTGTATATTAAATTCCCATTTCTGTAATACCCCCAGAACTGTTGGAGGACACAGTCACAGACAGGAGGGAACTGAGGCCATAAATATATATGATGAGACCATCTGTAACTTCTGTTCTGAATGTACTTAAAAAAATAAAAAAATAAACCACCAACTTTCACTGTTAAGCTGGGGGAAAAAAAAAGTAGATTGGTTTTTTTTCCAGCAGTATGTGTGGAAATAGAGGTGAAATTATTGAGTTGCACTGCATACATGGGTATTCTGTGCCTCTCTGTCATGGAATTCGATTGAGCTCAGTGTAAAGGAATTGAGAGACAGGCTTGCCTTTTGATTAATAGCTTAATAAAGGGAAACGCCGTAACATACTGTGTAATTCCTTCTTTTGCATACCTCACATCCTAATTTGCAGTTTTTAATCTCTTAAGCAAAACAGCTGCATGCATAATCTGTCTGAGAGATCTGGTAGGTAGGAAGGTAATGATCTCTTCCAATTAAAACTTGTTCCACATAATTCCAATTTTCTTGCAGGGGCGATTATATGAATGCTCTGGCACATTATGAGAAGGGAATCACTGGGGACAGTAAGGTATTTCATTTCCAGTGCTGATAGCATGTGTAGTTATCAAATACTACACTTCCAAGTGTTTTGTTTCAGATGGTTTAAATTCAGCTTTATTATTTCAGTGCTAAATCTACACAACTATTGCTTTGGTGATAGCAGTCCTTTATGTACTTTTTTGTGTGTTTTTAGTGCACAGAATGGTGCTTTCTCTACTCGTAAAACATTATTGCCATTGTGTTCGAATAGAATAACAAGACTTAGTTTGAGCAGTTTCATAGTAGACGTGCAAACACTGTGGGTAATGTTGCTAGGATTTAATTGTTAAAGCAAAAATCTTCGTTATTCCTTTGGTTATTCTTTGCTGAAATTTTATCTACTTAAAGCCATGCTAGGATTGCATTACAAAGTAGACATCTTATTCAGTAGATATTCCCTTATTCTGGCATTATTTTCCCTAATATTTGCAAAATGCCTATTACGAAACAGCTAAAATAATAATACAGGAATTTAATAGAGAAAATAGCAGTGTTTTCTGAATTCAAGCCATTTGCCCTTATGAAGGTTCAGTGGCCTTACCATGTTTGGGGAAAAAAAAAAAAAATTAAAATGAAGAGAGATTACAAGCTTTTTTTTTTTCTACTGTTGGCTTTGAAGGAAAGAATAAAGTAGTACAGAGCCATTTGTAATAATATATTCCCTGTATGCTTGGCTGGGACAGATTTTGCAAGTGAAATACAGAAACAAAAGACCAATGGTTAAGGAAAAAAAAAATTAAGCAGAGTTGTTCTTAACTAGTAAAAAATAGCTGAACCTGAGCAAGAATTTGTAGGCAAAAATTGAATTCACCAAGTCCATGTAATGTTTTGTTATTTGGAATCAGTGTTTTGTTACTGTGGATTTTGCCAGCTGCAATTTCTGATACGTAATGTCTCTGCTTTCCATTTGGTTGCTAGTATCAGGAACACGATGAAGCTTGCCTTGCTGGAGTGGCTCAGATGTGCATTCGAATGGGGGATATCCGCCAGGGCGTAAACCAGGCCATTAAGCATCCCAGTAGGTTACTAAAAAGGGACTGTGGAGCTATTCTGGAGAGTATGAAGGTAAATTAACAAAGCCTAAGGTTGAATATGTGAATGCATTAGGATACTTTTTCATAATCATAGTTTACAAATGATATTACAATGATTTTCAATATTACAGCAATTTTCAGAAGCTGCACAGCTGTATGAGAAGGGACAATATTATGACAAGGCAGCATCAGTGTACATCCGGTGTAAAAACTGGTAAGTACAGATTGCAGGGAGGTGTTGTTTGTTGTAACAGAGGACTTGACGTGGTGCCTTTGGAAAAGAACAAGGCTGCAAATGTCTCTGGTTTTGTGGTTCCTCTCCTCAGGCTTGAACAAGAACAGCATTCACCTCTTAGAAACTTATGTTGGTTTAAATACAGCCTTACTGGAAATGGGAGTCTTCCCTTCCCCCCCCCCCCCCTTTTATTGTGTCACTGTTAGCTGCAGTTTCCAGTCCTTTTTGCATGTGTGAGTGTGCATGGTGTGCATGTGCTCTCTATTTTATAGAGAGATTCTGAGTCTTGATTGTTATCTAATTTCATTTTATGTTATTTTAATAAGAGAAACTGAATAAAGCAGAGATCAGAAAGACCCCCTCTCTTTCATGCAAGTGCTCTAAAAATTAGGCTGGAATATTACGCTCATTTACGATGCAAAAATTTATCCTGCTGTGAAAGTGCATCAGCAGCATCATGGTGAACCAAGAGAACACTTGTTAAATAAGAGTAGCTTATGTACAGTGACAGACTTGACATGGAAGCTGGGAGGGGCTTGTTTTGTTTCTTCAGGCAAAAGTAAGTTCAGGTCTCTTGAAGCCTTAGGGAGTGCTCTGCATTCCAGGCACAGAAGGGACATTTAGGGCCTGCCTCTCTGCAGCCTCACACATGCTCTGCTGTGTTGTTGATGTTGTCATTCAGAGGATCTGCCTGTAATTGCCTCTTTCCAACTATTAAGTACAGCTCTTTAAACATTTTAAAGTGCCTTCAAAGCTTACACGTTATGTTCAAATACTTTCTTTTTTAACCACCTTTTCAGTATTGATATAAATATGCCTGTTCTACTAGAGAAAAAGGAAACCAGAAATGTTTCTTCACTTTGTCTTGTCTTTCCAGGACAAAAGTCGGTGAACTTCTTCCTCATGTTTCATCTCCAAAGATTCACCTGCAATATGCAAAGGCCAAAGAAGCAGATGGCAGGTGTGTTTATCTGCATTTACAGAATATGTAATTGTTATTTATGGCATGTGTTATTTCTATAAAATATACTAAAAGACAGACTTTAAATTTTGCATAAAACATGCTTGTAAAAAAGGATTCAGAAATACCCAAGCATGAGTATTTTAAACATAGTCTAAGGACCAACCACTACCATCACAGACATGGTTTTAATTGATTTTTTCCCATCTAAACATTACTGTCTTTATAACAAAAATGATTGAAGGTCTTACGGTGCTGCAGCAATACAGCAGTCCAATTAATGGAATACTCAAGTTCAGTTTGTTTCTAACAATTCCTTTCATAAAGCTGTGATTTTTAAGGTCTTTCAAAATTGAAATAATCATGGAAGAATTTTTTTCAATCTGAAAGCAAATTACTGTTACATCTTAATAGCTGCTCTTGCAAGGCACTGGATAAAGTGAAATTATTGGCTAAAATGATAAATACCAAAACAGGCCTTTGTCATATCAGCCAATAATCATAAAATTTTAATCACAAAGTTTAGTTTTCTACTTGTCAGTGCCTGTAGGGAAATGGAGTTCAGACTAATTATGGCTTGTAAGATGAGACAACCAAGGCTAAATGCTTGGATGGATGAGACTAGACAATATTATTAGTGTTAACTGCATAGTGCAAGGATGAGGAATTTCTTTAACTCATTTATGGAACAGAAAATAGACTCATTTTTGAAACTGTGCTACTAGTTTTCTGTTTGGATTTCTTGTTCTCTCACTCCCGAGTGACTTAATGTGGAGCTGATAAAACAGATGAACTACTCCTAAGATATACAAAAAGGGGGGCTTGACAGAGTAAGTTAAAAATACTTCCGTGGTTTTCTACTGTCTCAGCAAGAAATGTACTCCCAAGAGAAAACAATGTGGAGAGAAAAGTTAGTAAACACAAAACAAGCCTATTTATGCAAACTGAAAAGAAGGTGTCACAGAATAACGGCTCAGAAGTAAAATACTGTACGTTTCTTTCATACCATACTGAAAAGAGGTCTTTGAAAATCAGAAAAACTTGTGGAGCTGTAATTTTTCAGGTACAAGGAAGCTGTGGTAGCGTATGAGAATGCAAAACAGTGGGACAGCGTAATCCGACTGTGTTTGGATCACCTTAATAATCCTGAAAGGGCCGTTAATATTGTGAGAGAAACCCAGTCTCTTGATGGGGCAAAGATGGTGGCCAGGTAATAATTATACGTTAAGAAGTTAATCTCTTTGAGGGCTGTTAACTGTTTCTTTCTTCTGCATTGTTGCCAGAGGGTAGAACTGTGCTCAGTACAGTAAGTGGCATTTTTTTAGAAAGAAATCCTATGAGCTTTTAGAAAATATAATATTTCCTTGAACACATTCTTAATGCATCCCATAACTTACCTCAATCCAGCATTGCCTTTTCACTCTACTTAAAGAGAGTGTCACTCTTAAATCATGATTGTGTTGTCCAAGTTAGTGATTTTCTAGATGCAGCTATAGAGAGCACCATAAAATTAATTGTTACGCACAATTTTCGTATTAACTTCTTTCAGGAAGAATATTCTTGTACTTTTCTTGTAGTTTTTATTGCACTTACAGCTTATGAGATGGGCAGTTAGAGTTTTAAAAGCTTGGAAGAGGTCATACCTGTTGGAAGTTGGTGAGGCCTGCTGGTGTATCAGACTCAGTTGCTAGTGCTTGGTTAATGACTACATATTTCAGTTTAGTGACTCGAGTTCTTTAAAGTTTGGGCAACTAAACAGGTACTGCTTTATTTCTTTCTAACTCTTCAATTGAAAATTACATTACCCTGAAGTAGTGAGTTTAGAAAATAATAAAAGTTTGCCATGCTGTGTTATTTGCAGTAAGTTAATTTTAGTAACCTATTTAAAAGATAAAATACGTAGATACAAAATTAGAAATACATCGTTCTTGCATGCCACAAAATACTGTATGTTTCTTAAAGTTTGGAGCATTCATTGTGTTACCTAACTAAGGTATTAATTTGTTCATTCCAACTAGATTTTTCCTGCAGCTCGGTGACTATGGTTCTGCCATCCAGTTCCTGGTCATGTCTAAATGCAATAATGAAGCTTTCACGTTAGCTCAACAGCACAACAAGATGGAGATTTATGCTGATATCATCAGTGAGTATTCCAGTTTAATGCTTTGCACACAGTGTGTTTTACTGTACTTTTACTTGGTTTAGACCAAATTAAAGTGATAAGACAAGGGATATGTGGTTTTGTTTCCCAGCCCTTTTCATTTCTTGTTTCCAATCACTATTGGCAGATTTGGCATCCTGTTTTTAATTCAGGTCTATAAGCTTTGTTTCACTTCCAGCTTAGGTGTTTTCAAAACCTTGGCTTTGTTAGAGCTCTAGCAGCCTTCTTTGTGGAAAGTTTCACATAAGGATCTAACAAACTATCTCATCTTTTCAATAAAACATTGAAAGTTTCCCTTTAAAAAATGCATTTCTGCTAGGGTGGGGTACTTACAGAAACTTCACAGCACTTAGCTTGGTGATATACTATTACAGCTGCTTGTCAAGGTGGGCAGTATTGTTCTATTATTATTCCTTGTGCTTTCTTCCTTCTCTCCTTTCGCAGCAGCATGGCTCAAATTGTAATCTAAGTGGGTGGAAACAGGTTTTAAACCTAACTTTGGAGAAGAGGCTCTCTTTGTGTGTACAGTAACACGGCATCTTGGTTAGAGGACTCAGCTGTATTGCCTGCTAAATGGTTAGATAGCTCCTGATAATCTTTTACTATGCAATACAGGTATACCCTCATATTCTTAAGCTGTGAAAATGATCCTAATGTTAATCTTAATATCATCTTTTCTATTTTATTGTTGCCAAGACATAATGAAAAGAATAAATAGCATGTCATAGGCCATTCTGTTATGTCTGTAGAAATCCCACTACCATGTGAAACCTGTGGAAACAATAATGCCAATGCATTATTAGGCCCTGATGTCTGACATTTAGTCTTTTAAGTAGGAAAAAAGCACACAAGCCATAATTTGGTTCTACTTGGCTTTGGTTTTCTCTGTATAACGGGTATTTCTTTGTTAGGGCCCTTTTCTTACTTAATAGGAATGCTCTGTTATCATGGCCTTCTCTCTCTTGCAGCTTCCGATAGTACCAGCAATGAAGATTATCAGAGCATCGCTCTGTATTTTGAAGGAGAAAAGAAACATTTTCAGGCGGGAAAGTTTTTCTTGTTGTGTGGCCAGTATGGACGGGTCAGTACTTAAATGACAAAGCAGTGATGGTTGACTGTTCATAGGAACTGTTGAAAATACTGTACTTCCAAATCAAGTTCACCTGTACACTTTTAGCTGTCTTAACTGAGGCATGTACTGATACAAAAAGGTGTTAAAAAGCTAAGTATTGATTCCATGAGTTATACACTGTCACACAGATAAACTTTTCATAGCAGTAGGGACAGATTAATGTCAGTCACATTACCCTCAGTGAATTTCTAAGAGGTGTAAACATACAGGTAAAATTTGCAGTATATTTGCTTCACCAATGAAGATTTGGTTGCCGTAAAAATAGTTTGTTAAATAGTGCTGCACACCCGAACGTGAACAGATCTTTAAAAAGAAGGAAGTGTGTCAGTTGGCAGGCAAGTCTGTCAGCTGATGCTTGCTAAGTGTTTGACTCCTGCTTACTGAGCACGTGCTAAAAAAAGTTCCTGATTTTTGCAGATTACAGCCATCATAGGTGACTGTGCTTTCAGCTGGAGCTAAGGAGGCTTCTAATGCCACATCAACCACAGTTAGATGAAGATATATGCCAGGATTTAGCAAAGACTTACATCTTATTTTCAGGATGAAAAGCAGCCATTACCTGTATGGCATATATGGCTATTCTGATGGCTATAGAATACAGTCCATCCGTTGTGCCTTTTTTTTTTTGGTCAAAAGACAGAGAGAAACAACTTGGTAAAAATGAGAAAAATGTTAATTTCATGTATTTCAACTTCAACTCTTTTTCTACTTCTTTTCAGGCATTAAGGCACTTTATGAAAAGTCCAAGCACAGAAGATAACTTGGCTATTGAAATGGCGATTGAAACAGTAAGCAACTTTGATAAAACAAAATATTACTTATCTTTTCGAGAAGTTTTCTTTCAGTAGTTTGGCATTTTCCCATCATCAGTTGATAAACAAATGTAGCTGCAGTTTTTTATGAAAAGTCTGCTTGTGTTGTATTTTTTCTTTTTTCCTCACAGTAATTTCTTCTGTCTTTATTTAATAGGTGGGACAGGCAAAGGATGAGGCCCTAAAAAATGAACTGATAGATTATCTGACAGGAGAGAATGATGGCATGCCTAAGGTATTGTATTTTGTCACTGCTGTTGTGTCCTGTTGCTGTACAACAAGAACATTCGAGTTTATTTTATCCTAAAATTTTGGTAGACACAGATTGCTTTTTAAGGATTGCTTTCACTAAGGAGCGAGGCTTATATGATCGTTCTGTGAGTCATTTCACCCAGTAACTTCAGTTTCAGAAAGATGAGAAAGAAGTGAAATACAGTCATCTTTCTCTAAATACAGTGGAGACAGCAGAGGAGATCCAAACCAGTGCTGGCACTGACAAACAGACAGAAGTCAGCTGTTCGGATCAGTTAGCCTGCTGGAGGTTGTCTTTGCCAGATGGTCAGGCAGCATGTGTGTGTGTCTGAGGACAAGCAGCACTCCTGATGTCTTGCACAATGGAGAACTGGTCATACTGTCGCAGTGGAAGAAAGTAAGGTGGTAATTAGGGAATGAAGAACAAAAACGTGTCAACTAATGAGGTACGTCGTGGACAGATTTTCAAAGTTATGCAGCCCCCCTTGATTTCATAATCATAGAATCTTCCATCTCCATGTCTTGGGTTGGAAGAAACCTCAAGGATCAGGAAGCTCCAATCCCCCCAGCCACAGGCAGGGCCACCAACCTCCATGTTTAATACCACACCAGGCTGCCCGGGGCGCCATCCAACCTGGCCTTGAGCACCTCCAGGGACGGAGCATCTGTCCCATCCATTAAGTAATTAATGACCATGTTCTCAAAAGGAAATTAGCCCAGAAACAATTTGGAAATGTGAACTGAGGGGAGAATTTGCTATTGAGATCACCTGAAAATGTAAATGCTTCCTGTGGATGCACAGTGTTGGCACAGTGAGGTTATTTCACCTGTAATATCACAGGTGTGATTTATGATTCTGTTGTGAGGTTAAAAATCTCTGTCTTCTCAGCAGAGTGCCCAAAGATTTAATATGTTAGCCTTCCAGAGACACCAGATAGACAGTTGATGGCTACACCAGCCTTGCTTTTGCAAAATTAGAAATTGGGAAAAAACAGTTACGTATGTAGGGTTTTTTAATTCACTTCTTAATATGTGTCTGTAATTTGAAGTTTGAACTACAAAAAAAATTATATGAGAAGTAAAAAGTAACAAAACAAAATAGAATCCAACTGCAAGAGACCAGAAGAGAATGAAGCCATTAGAGACATGGTACAACAAATCCCAAGGGAGCCTATAAACAGGAGGGGAATCAACTCTTTGAAAAGGTAGATAACTGCAGGACAAGGGGAAATGGTTTGAAGTTGAGGGAGGCAAGATTTAGGTTGGATGTCAGGGGGAAGCTCTTTACAGAGAGTGGTGAGGTGCTGGAACAGGCTGCCCAGAGAGGCTGTGGATGCCCCATCCCTGGAGGTGTTCAAGGCCAAGTTGGATGGGGCCCTGGGCAGCCTGGTCAAGTATTAGATGGGAAGGTTGGTGGCCCTGCATATGGGGGGGTTGGAGATTCATGATCCTTGAGGTCTCTTCCAACCCTGGCCATTCTGTGATTCTGAGATCAGTGTAAGCAAAAGTAATTTTGTATTGATGCTGTAAAGTGGTTGGGCAGAACCTGTCCCATCCTGTCTTCTCCTTGTTGGCAGCAGCCTGCCCACTGGCTGTGCTTAGGACTGGGTAAGGGACTTGACGTGGTGTGATCTGCATGGTGAAACGGTTCTGAAGATTGTAGGAAATATTCAGCAATTGTGTGAATGCCATGATTACTGTCTTTAACATTCTTTTGAAATTCAGTGTAGAGCTTTCTTTTCCTCCTTTAAAAGCTCTTTCTTGTTCTTCTAAACGCTTTAATCCCATCTGCCATAGTCTCTGTCAGTGAGTAGCATCATTTTACTTTATCACTTTACTTTTATTTGTTTAAAAAACAGATTAGAAATCAATTCTCCCTTATCCTTATTCTGCTGGTACAGAGCTGCTGCTTCTGAAATTACCAAGAGGGGGGCTTTAGAGAATAGTGGCTTTTCTGTGGTAGTGTTCTTGTAAAGCTGAGTGTAAGAGCAAATTTCAAGCAGGCAAGCAGCAGAAACTTGCTAATCCCTTCAGCACTCATCTTCAAGCCCAGCAATCGCTCAGAGCAGCCTGGGTACTTCTTTCAGCCCATGTCACGTGGCTTTAATGAAGCACCATATTACCAAAACTATTGTATTAAGCATACATTTGCTACACTGTTGTCTCATAATAAGCTAGTTTGTAATGTGGTGTTATGTTGGCTATTGCATTTGTTGACTTCAGCATGCTGGGATTCTTCATTTGTCGTGTTTTAGAACTTTCCAGAAAGCATGAAGTAGCAAAGTTCTGCTGTTCTGTCTGTGCATGTTTGCTGGGCACAACCGTTGTAGAAAGCAAAACTAAGTTGAAATAATAGCTATCTAAAATTAAGGTCGGCTGGAAAATTAATTATTGGAATTCTGAAGATTTTAGGAAATGTGTTGACAATGGAAAATTCCTTTCTTTATTTATTGCCTTTTTAATGTCTAGCGTGAAAGGTTAGGGCGTAAAACATAAAGCATTTGTTAAATGCCTTCTACTTGTGTATTTTCTTCTCCATATGTCTGTCACGTCAGTTACTGAAATCTGTTCTTTGAGATGCAGTGAAGGACGTGGCAGCTCCCACAAGGCAGCTGCTCTGTCCCAGGCAGGAGAACAGGGGAGGAGCAGCTCAGCAGGGCAAGTGCAGACACCCACCGAGCCCACACCAAGAGGTGGGAACAGGGAAAAATCACCCCATAGCCCACGCAGCATCATTTTCTTGTGCCCCCACTCAGGGACCTCAGGATAAATAATATCAAAGATACATGCATTTGTTTCTTATCCAGATAACCTTTTCAATGCTGTTAAACTACAGCTCTTCTAGCTTTTGACTGTTTAAAATTCTGTTACATCATTACTTGAAATTAATTATTTTTGCTCACTTCACGTTTTGCCTCATGAGGAAAGTTAAGAGAAGAATTTGACTCGCCCTCATTCTTTCTGCATACTGGTCTTGCTTGCTTTTATTTCTGTGATTATTTCTTCTCTTTTGTCTTCCTTCCTGCGTCTTGGATAGGAAATTAATCTTTGCAGTCATTTCTTTATTGGGAATTGTGTTTATACCTTTCATATTTCTTTTCCCTTGAATTTCTTTCTTGATTCCTTTTTCTTTTTTTGCAATGTGTTTGGGACTTGTATACAAAAGCCATGCAGTGTTCTGGAGTACAGCCCAACTAATCATCTTTAAAGAACTTGTAAACAGTTTAAACATGACATACCCATTGTGTTTGGCTTTACTGATAATATCGCAGAATTGTTCAACTTGGTTTTGTGTTTGTTGCTTTTCTTCCTCACTGAGCTGTCCTTAAAGCTGCTGATGTGTTTTGTTTCCAACTTGCCTCTCTCTGACTAGGGAGCATCCCATTATGTGCTATGTTGCAGATTAAGTTGGCCTTGATTAACAGAGCCAAGGATTGTAACATACAGACTGCACTTATTTTAATCTCGCTTTTGAAATCACAGCTGGAGGTATAAAATAGTGCCCCTAAACCAGATTTTATTCTTCATGTAACAGTTCCTCTTCCTTGAAAGCGAGGCCCTTCTATCCAAGTGTGTATTTCAACTGCATTTTTAGAAATAAGAATCTTTTGGTCTCTCGTCAATTTTCTTAAAATACTTACGGAAATCCAAGTCTTATGTTGACCTTTTTTTTTGTGCTGGTGTATGGGAAGTCTGAGTCCCTTTTGAAAAACAGAAGTCCTGGTTGTTTTCTTCATCTTGTTTTTTGAAGTTTTGGTTTAAAATCATTTCACCAGTTTCCTTCACATTGAATTAAGCTGTTGGATTGTCACTTCTTGGGCGAACCCTTTGCTGCATTTCCCATTCTTGAATTGCACAACATACCGACAGTACGTAGTGCAGCAAATTAGAAACGTTATACAGTTTATCAGCCAATTGTCCCCTTAGTTTTCAATTCTTTGAGCTGGCCCTCACTCACACTGAGCTGTGTGCACCTGGAGCTGTAACAGTGACCGCAGCAAGGGTTTGGAGTGCTCTTCTGCCACCACAGGCAGCACCAGCCTGAGCTGCTGGTTCTCAGCTCAGGGGCCTCATAGCGAGCACGGTGGATGAGGGGAGGAAGGGAACACCATGCTTGCCATTTACCAGCATTAACTGCTTTTGTCTGACTTAATTAGGATGCTAAGTACCTATTCCGCTTGTACATGGCACTGAAGCAATACAGAGAAGCTGCCAGAACTGCTATAATAATCGCCAGGGAAGAGCAGCGTTCAGGTAAGTCGGGTTTTTCTGATAGGACAGCATACGTGATGCTGTGGCCTCACAGTGCTGCAGGTACCATTGTCAATATAGATTATGCTATAAAGCCTTACTCTTTTGGTAAATGCGAAGCTTTTAATTATATTCATTCATTTTTAAGCTTGAAATAGCTTTTGTGAAAAGATGGGGATTCAGAACTGCATATTAAATGCATGGAAATAAATGAAGTGATGGGAAATTTCAGCATTCTTTATATTCAGGGGTGGAGACTGCTTGATACTTTTCTGTATAACAGATCTTAGAGTTGCAGTTAAACTACACAGTTTCCAGCTTTGGATTCTGATCCTTCACTCTTTGCATGTTTCAACCTTCAGTAGATGTGTGAAGGAGATGGGCTGTGCCAAAGGGTCAGGTACCTCGGTGCCTGAGCCTTGTGTTTGCCTGAAGTTACAAACAGAAAAAAGAGAAATAAGAAGGGACAGGGCTAGAAGTGAAATAAGTGTCTCCTCTGCTGGCTGCTTTTGCCATGGCAACAGCCCTACCAAAACACTGCTTTCTTTTCATTACAAATAAGTTAAGAAAAATATCCGTAAAGGAAAAGCAGCAGCCTCAGGAACTGGAGGACAGTAATGCCCATGGAAATTAACATTAATGGACAAACAGCAATGGGCTGAGGCTGGGGCCTTGACAAACATGGTCTGCCAGGGCAGCACAGCAATAAATAAAGCATTAGTGCTGATAATGTAAGCAGGAAATGTACAGGCTCAAGGGTTTGATCATTCTTTAGCTTCTTTGAATCTGAAAACGTTGTACCTAAGCTGGAGTGTCCCATGTTGTAGTTCATATTCCCTGCTTGCTCAGATGTGTTCAGACACTGTGTCAAAATAAGCCCTGCGTTTTTCTCAGTAATATCACCTGTTCTGCAGCAACTGTTTCTTCTGCAGAGGCAATCAAGGGTTTTTCCCCTCATCCTTTAGGAGATTTCAGCAAGTTTGATTTTGAAGTTTTCACCAGTATGGTTGGTGAAACTTTTCCTTAACAATCCGTTTTACATTCTGTTGCAGTCTGCACTGTGCAGTGCATGCACTTTGGGTGTGCCATTTCCTACACGGTTTTCCCCTAACTTGTTTCTCAGGTAACACTCACATGATATTAAGGCTGATCATGCTGTGCCACCCAGTTCCAGCAGCTTGATTCAATGGCAGTAACAACACACAACAAACTGCTTTGTGCAGATGGAGAGAAGCAATGCTTGGTGAAATAACTAAATCTGAAGTTTTCCTTAAGTGCCTCCAACTGCAAAGAATATGACTTTGTTATGCTCTAATAATGGCAAACAAAGAATGCAGGAAGAATCAGCTAGCTAAGAGCAGTCTGACTACACTGAACACATTTTGATGCTGAATTTAACTACGTTTAGAAGTTAATGAGCTCCTGTGGTTTCCACACATCCCCCATCAGTGATCTGGAAGCAGTGCAATGCCACAAATTAACGTTCTCATTTAAGTTCTCTCCCTGTAAGGTTTGGGGTTGGTTGGTTGCAGAGGCAAGGAGTTGCCAAAGCAAACGATAAAGCAGTTTTCTTAAGTAAAATTACCTTTTCTCTACTCTGTTGTGGAAACAGTGTCTCTTGGATACAGCATCTTCCATTTTTAAAGCTTTATTATACAAAGTTGTTGTTCACATAAATGTTTTGTTACTGTCTAGATGACTTCTGCAAGTGTATTTTTTTCTTATTTAATTCCCTGGCTGATACTGGTTGGGATCCTGAGACAAACAACTGCTTATGACTTTGCAAAGAAATTGTCACGCAGAAGTTTTGCTCTAAGAATCAATGCAGCTTCATGTTTGGCTTCCTTACATTTATTAGGTTACAAAAGAAAAAAAAAATAATTACAATTCAGTGTTGTTTGTTTTTAAGGGAATTACCGAAATGCACACGACGTTCTTTTCAGTATGTATTCAGAATTAAAGACCCAGAAGATTAAAATTCCTTCTGAGATGGCTACAAACCTTATGATTCTACACAGCTATATTTTAGTGAAGGTAAGGAGTGGAGAAGCTGAGTTCTTACACACGTTGCACAGTCTGTGGTTTACTGAAGTGTGCGGATGGGTGCTCCGTATTCATGAACTGCACTGCCAAGGAGGTTTTAGTATGGACTCCAAGTGCAAGCTAGTGGTGAGCTTCAGGAGAATCCATACCTGTTTGATGCTTCTGCCTCTTTGGTTAGGCTGTTCTCTTTAAAATACTGAATAATTTAGAACCTAAGTATGGCTTCCTATGCATATAGCACTCATACTTAAAAATATGTGCACTGCTTGTACTGTTACTAGTCAGAAGCAGATCACTGCTTTTCTTTAATTGAAATTAGGCAGGGCAGCCCAGGCTATTTCTGGTGGCCAACACCAGTGGCCAGTCAGGAGGAAGCCACTCAGCCTTTGGCCTTTTTGCACCCCCCCTGCCTGCCAGCCATCAGGCAGCAGCCTGCTGGTTGTGGTCTGGAGAGTACAGAGACCTCTGGAGAACAGCTCCCATTATCTCTGGTTCTTCCTTTAGAACTTGATACGCGCGTGCCCAGTTTCACTAACAGGCTGGGGGCGTGCAGCTGCCCAGAGGACAAACAGCAAGAGCAGGAACTGCTCTCTGCTCTCTGAAGTCACCTCGGTGTGTTTGTTGTATTCCAGACTCACGTGAAACGTGGCGACCACATGAAGGGAGCACGTATGCTTATACGTGTAGCCAACAACATCAGCAAGTTCCCATCACGTGAGTACTGACAGCGTAAATGAGTGGGCTGTGCTCTGCAGGGCAGCTCAGGAGTCATTGTTAGAAGGTGCCTGGGGTGCTTCCTCAGTAGAGAACCTCCAGGAGAGATTCAACCAAGGTTAATGTGTCCTTGAGCACCACAACTGCAGTGCTAAGTAGCCTGAGCCATGCATAAAGTCTCAGGATGGATCCAATCAGCTGATGTTCTGTGAGGTTTTATCACAAAGTTGAAGTAGCCTTCTTTTGAAAAGGCTGCTTTTTTGGCACGTGGAACATTTGAGGGAAATCTTGACGCTGCTGTCATGGATGGCTGCGGTACTGATAGCGCACCTCTCCTCACCTGTGCACACACAGGCTGTTCCATGGGTCAGTCTGCCTTCTCTGCTAATTCTCAGCCAGTAGTAATCCCTGTTAGTGTTTTATCTTTTTACAGCCAGGGTTCTCTCTCAACACATCGCTACAATGCAGACTTTACACAGCATAGACCAGATTTGGGAGAAACGGTTACAACTGAAACACTTCCAGTGCCAGGCTGTGCTGCAGAGGCACCAGGAAGGAAGAGGTGAACCCATGGTTCTTGGGTGTGGTTGCAGGAATTGCACAATTTGTGCAGCTGAGTGATACAGAAAAATTCTGTCATCCTTCATCGATGTCCTATTAGCGCAAAGGTTTTATATGGTAATATTAGTACATAATTATTGCTATTGGTTCGTTTTGTTGCAGACATTGTACCCATTTTGACTTCAACAGTAATTGAGTGTCACAGAGCAGGATTGAAGAACTCGGCCTTCACTTTTGCTGCTGTGCTGATGCGACCTGAGAATCGCAATAAAATAGATCTTAAATACAAAAAGAAAATCGAAGCAATGGTCAGGTGAGCAGTGTTCATCTGTACTTCCAAACATTTGCCAGGCACCAGAAGCACTGTTCAAGTTCAGAGAGCTTGAGTTTTTATTCATGTTTGTATGTTACTGCTTAGGCACCCAGACAAAACCGAGGCAGAGGAGCCAACAACAGCCTGTCCCTACTGTGCATTCCAGCTCGCAGAATGTGAGCTCTTATGTCCCAGCTGTAAGAACAACTTGCCGTACTGCATTGCAACGGTGAGTGCCTCTTCTACACTGTGAGAAGGAACAGAAAGCTGCTTTTTTTTTTGTTTTCCATCTGCACTGTGCTACTAGATTCAGGCTAAGGCTTGGCAGTTCTGTCCAAGCTGTTGGCAAATCGGTGACACCCAGACCTCTGGGGCACTTCCCATGTTAAGTACTGGGCCAGTGCTGGTTTCAGTATTAGCTATTGCTGACGCAAAATGAGAAGCCCTACTGGTTTTGTTTCTGGGTTCTTTACAGTCTGTTGAAAAGGGACAGTGTACATTTCCCAGTGAGAGCCATGCATCTCACCTCTGACATGTCAACACTGTGGTTAGCTCCTGTACATGAACATTTCATTTCTGCTAGGTCGAAGGGATTTGTCACACTAAAATTACAGAATAAGTACAGATTTACTAAAGCAGGAAGCAAATAAGAGAGTTAACATACTTGACTTTTAATATTAAAACTAAAGGATCAGTCTTACAAAAAATATTAGTAGTTTCTTAAACTGTTTTACTCCATTGGCTTAGTACATGTCTATTTCTGCTTCAGGTATGTAAGCTGTCTCTTGGTTATGGTTCCTTTACATCACCGTAACATCATCAGGGCTGTCATTTTTCTCATACCTTTTGATAGTGTCAAAACAAACCACTGCTGCACGATGTATTAGAGCACAAATTGTTAAACAGATCAAGGCACTGTTGGGCTTCACGCTGTTGACCATGATACATAAGAATTTTCTGCATCAGAGTCAACAGGAAACCAAAATTTATAAAAAAAAAATAAAGCTGTTTCAGCTCTCCTGCTCTGTTCACAGACAGCTGAGCCTCACGTGGCTCTGCTGGCATTTTTTGAACCTCACACATCACCAGAACTCTCAGTAACTTTACAGTCACCTCTTTCTACTCCTGTATCCACATGGGCAATATAGAATTGCTAAACTAAAATAATTTTTAAAGTGATAATTGCATTCTTAAATTGATAAAAAAAATAAATACGTATTATAGTGAAAACCTTGTTCATCGTTTAGAGCTCCTTTTCTAGTCACAGTATTTACACAGTAAGCAAAGTAACACTGTAACGATGGGGTTTTTTTTCATTCCTTAACATCTTTAGAACTCCAGTGCTGAGACTTTTTCCACAGTAACTGCCAGGCGTAGCAGGGGGAGCACCTGACCTCGAATGACTGCTTTCTCTTGCGTGCAGGGTCGACATATGGTACGGGATGACTGGACTGTCTGCCCACACTGTGACTTTCCTGCCCTCTATTCAGAATTCAAGACGTAAGTTGGGATTTTTTTGTACTGAAAGATTTCAGTGTTCATTCCATCTAACATACTTTTAAGGCATCACTTTCAAGTGAACCAGCCCAACAGCAGCCACTAGAATAGGAATTTGCACCTAGCACTGGGTGCAGACTAACAAAGCACTCCTCATTTAAATCCTTGTGGTCTAGCACCAGCTGCTATAGTCATGGTCTGCTGCCTTTTCCTCATGCCCACTCAGCCAGCAGCAGCATTCCTGGTGGGGCTAGCTCTCGTATGTTAAAAAAAACACAAAACAAAAACCACACAACTCACCTTTTCCCCAACTAGCCAGAACAGCTGCCACTCCAGCCTGTATCTCTTACACTGCATGTTACAGGACTCTCAGGCACAACACAACACAGGCTTGATCGTGTTACAACCATCCTTTGACCTGTTGCCCCTCTTCCTTTAAAACAGCATGTTACAGACTGAAAACGTGTGTCCCATGTGTTCTGAAACAATCAATGCTGTTCATCTTAAGAAAATAAATGACTGCACGCAGTACCTCAAACAGGATGACATGGACAGCTAAGTTCAGGTGTGTATGAGAGCCTCTTTTTGTGGGGCTTTGGGGGTTTAGTTGCTGAGGTTGCAGAGTTTTGGGTTTTTTTTAATTAGATAGCAGGGCTCATTTGACAGGGCAATAGCCAACATTTCCCAGCAAGGACAGTTCAGTGTTCAAGAGTTTAACTTACAAGGCTGCATCTCAATCCATCAGGTTGTTGAGGCCTCAGGTTGTTGAGGTGCAGATTTAACATTTGCCCTTAAGCACACAGAGAGTATTGCTTGCTGCTTTTGGTTTTTTTTTGGTTTTTTTGTTTGTTTGTTTTGCTTCCTTTGCCCTTGTTCTCATATTCAACATCAATTCTGAGCTCTTATCGCTTTAGTTTCTGTTAAACAGTTCTTAAGTTTTTAGGTATTTTTTCTGGCTTTGATTGCAGCTGTAAAATTTATACACTACAAATTTTGGAACTAAATCCCTCTCGGCTTTGCTTTTCTATGGCTGTGGGATCAGTTAATTAAAAAAAAAAAAAAGCCTGATAGATGCAGGAAAGTCAGAACCTCTGCCAGAACATGCTGCGCCTTCAGCAAAAATAGAAACCTCATGTGAAACACATTTATTGTAATTCTATACACTGCTTAATTGCTATAATGTACAAATGTGCAGATTAGGATTTACTATTTACAAGATTTCAGTACATAATAACAGAGGATTTTATACTAAAAACAGCCCTGTGAAGACTTGCATAAACACCAGGTAACTGCACTCCACATCTGCATCATGTTCACGCTCCCTGGTGCCTGTTCTACAAGAGTAGTTATGGCTTCTAACATACAGCACTGCCCCGTGTGAGAACAGGAGCTACAGCACCTCTATAAGAGGAGCACTGTCAATGCATGGGTTCTGTATCACCAGATCAGTTAAATGTTCCTGACAGAAGTTAGATAAACAAAGTCACCTCCAGAGCAAGATTATTCTCTTTAATGTCTTGTTTTCTCTTTTCTTTTGCCTTCTTTTTTTGTTGTTTCTTCATTTTTCTCTCTTTTTGGCAGCTTGGAAGGCTTCACCTTTTTTTGCTACAAAGAGAGTACAGGGAAAGTTTAAAATTCCTGGAGTAACCTGGCAGAAGGTGTAAATCAAATGCAGTGAATTAAAAAGGAAAAAAAGAAAAGGGAGCAGGGGGAAGAACCTCTCTCCCCTTCCCTTTCAAGCATCACATTTTGAAGTGCAATGGAATACAGACACTGCAACACTGTGACAGTTCCCTGGCTTAGCAATAGATGCAGGGAAGTTTGCTGCTGCTGTAAGGACATGCCCAACACTTGGGTTATATTCATTGATGCAGTACAAAGATGTCTCACTGTGCTCCAACATTCTAGCAGAAAAAAAAGCAATGAAAATAAACTTTTTTTTTTTTAATACTACTAAAAGTAAAGAACTTAAGAGATGATGCATTTAAAATCTACTCTGGTTTTTGTTTGGTTTTTGATTCTGATGTGACAGGTCCCAGAAAGTTAACATAAGAAGAAAAAAGTTTAGTTTGGTAGTGTAGTACTGAGGAAGAGAAATCACCTTGATCATTGCATCACTTTCAACAGTATCTTGCTCCTCCTCCTCAGATTGGATCTCTTCCACATTCAGTTCTTCGTGCAGGTCAGAGGTCCCTATGGATCCTGACTGCCGTCTAGACATCTTCACAGAATGAAGGGAATATGGAGTCAGATGCACCTCTTTGTTGTAGGCACGTGTAAAAGCTGCCTTGACCTGTTAGGAGGGAAGGAAACACTGAGCATCAGCTTAACAGTTTATTTGTATATTTACAATCTCATTTTCAGTTGACATAAGTACTGTACCTGCAAATCCACAAATGGAACAGTGAGTTGAATGGCTGATTGCACCTCTAACTCATTTCTTTACTGGACTTCTTATAGAAAGTCTTACCAGAGAAAACTATCCCTCACTTCTGAAATCATGCCTTACTCCAATCATCGCTTTTTGGCACTACGTCATTTGTGAACAACTGTCATCAAGGATGGAGTGCAAGGAAGGGTAACATTTCATCCAAAATCTGACGGACACACTGAGAACTCCCTGAGAATGCATTAGTTTCACAAGAAGAGAGCAAATATCCCCCTGGTTTTATGGTTTTGTTCCCCTTTTTTTTCTTAAACGTCTTAATAAAAATATTTTTAAAGTAAAATAAGTGTTGTTACTTACATATGTTACCTACATTATGTGTTTTACATGTGGCCAAGACAATGCCTCTTCACTGGATGGAACCCAAGGCACAGGGTTGGACACCCATGTTCAACCTACCCCTAAAACAACTGAGGCTGCATCCCTTAACAGGATGCCTCGACAGCTGAACTGCTATGGATTTCCATGTTCAATTAAAGTTCACAAGAGTATGCATTTGCATCTTCACCAGCCTTCAGCAGCACATCCATACCATAACTATCATTGTAAGACTTCCTTACAAAAGATGTGAGAAGTAAATCTAGTAAATCTTACCTTGGGATCCAACTTTGAAAAAGGGCTGGGTTTACCTCCCCACATGCTTATTTCCATTATGTTTTCAATGTCTTCTTTCATCAGGCAGTAGGAGTCCATGAATGCTATAGCATCCTGTACCCCATCTGCTCCAAAGGCGGTCAGTGGCTGGATGAGTGCATCGCGCAGATGAGACAAATATTCCATATTTACTGTCCTCTTGCATGCCTGGGTCCTTTGTCAAATTGAAAGAGAGAAATAAATCTGTCGAGCTCAACACAGCTCTTTTCTAAACACAGCCTCTGGTTAGTCTCTCAGCAAGTGGATGCTCAGCTGCCTTAAGAGCTCACCACAAGCTGAGTTGTACCACATATCTTTTGTCACACTTGGATTAGGGAAAACCTGATGCAAGGTATTCAGCACTCAAAAACCCAAGTGTTTGGGGAAACACAACCCTAACTTAAGAAAAGAAGTGTCTTCATTCTGACTGTTGTCCAGAATAGCGATATAAAAACATCACCAACTATCTGTGAGGATACTTCTAGAATACACATTTAAGATTGTACCAAGGACAGCACGGAGTTACTGGCAAGTAATGAGCTACAGAACAAGATGTCTCTGTTGACGCACACCAAGAATCAGTACTGCCTCACCTCAGGCTCATGTGCATTGCCAGTTCTTGGATGATACGTTCATGTTTGCCTGTAGATGAAAATTTCCCCAGCCAGCTGGGAAAGACAGGGAACTGGGACATGTAACCTCTCATCAGCTCCCCAGGAAGAACACTCGAATAAATAGCCTGAAAGGAATGACACACACACAAAACTCAGAACACAATGGATTCCATCTCACTGACACCCACCTGCACTGCTACACTCGTTTCACTGAAAGCAGCTAAGTGAATAGAGAGAGCTCCACACTACACACAGTTCACCTTAAGGCAACCCCGGCTGCTTGTTTCTGTTTATCCCTTTTAGATTTCATCTCTTGTACCACCCTATTTGTTACCATGATGTAAAATATCTGACAAGTGATGACTCTTTAAAAGTGTGTTTTCTTTCTAAATAGTTTCTCTGGTTTAGAGTCACACAGACAGCTCATTTCACATCAACAAGCACTATCATCTCCAGGAGATGGACACAGTACAGCAAACACTTCACAAAAACACAGCTGCTAAAAGATTTAATTATGGAGCTATATAACCTCAGAGGTCCCTTCCAACTTGTGGTACAATACATTCTCTGATGCCAGTCGTGGTCCTTTACACACAAAAAAACCCAACCCAGCAGCCTCGTGGCATACATGAGTACTGACATTAGTTCAGATGGTTCTACAGTTTGTAAAGAAGGTTTAAGTTTTCTCAGTGTTTCAGATGACTGCTTCATGATACAGCATGAGGTCATCCATGTCATTTATAGGAAGCTGCTCTACTCCCAGCAGCACAGAAGCATACTCCATAAAGCACAGACTATACTAGGTCATCAAATTACACTGACATTTTGAGATTTGAGTCTTACACACTGCACTCCATAGGTAAAGCACACAAAATGAGTGTGGAGTGCTCACCTGTGTTGGTAGGAGGTTCCAGTTCTGCTTGGTACGAATCTGTTTGTCCACCAGATCACCATCACATATACTATCAGCAGCTCTACTCAAGAGCATCAAGTGTTTCTTCAGATCTCCTCTGGAGGAAAAGAAAAATTGATTTTAATACAAAGCAAAATAAATACAGAAAGGTTTTAATTTAAATTGTACTCTTTGTGAAATTCTACGTGAATTCAGGGTATGGAATAACTCACCCAGCAGCAGCAGGTTTCACATGCACATAGTTCTCCTGGACAAAGAGAGGTGCTAGGGAATAGTCATGGAAGAAGAGATCTGATTTGTCTATAAGAGACATACGAGAAGCCTCCTCTCCAGCAGCAAAAACCTTCCGGACAACATCGAAAGGGCCCTAAATGGTAAAGGTATTTCAAGAAGTGGGTTGCAAGGCAAACAATTAACACTCAGCACGGTGTCAAGAGAATTACTACAGTGACTGCACACAGCAGTATCTGGACTCATCAGCACAAGCTCAGTGTCTGGTACTGTCCCTTTTGAATGTGCCTTTTCAATAGTGCCTTGCCAGTTTTGAGAACTGAGTTCTAATATTAAAAGAATTTCCTCCTAAAGACAGCAATCAAAATGAGAAGAGATGAAGTATGTATCTTCCATATTTTGATGTGCTGTCTTCTGAGGAAGTCAGTGCTGGATTAACTGCTGGCCCATTACTTGTGGCAAGACTGACACGTACTGAAAACATTTGACAGTGCCTTGCACATCTAGGCTGTCAGTGCTTCACTTCAGAAGATGCTTACAAACCCAGTAATGGTACCGAAATATCACACTACCAGTCAGCCCCATATTTCACACGTACCAGTTTGATATCCTTTTTGGCTCTGCCGGCGCCTGTTTTGGCCTCATCGTAAGTCAGTGATTTGTCTTTTGCACACCACATATTGAGATTATGCAAAACCTGGAAAATGCAAGTGACAACGTGGTAGCATAAAAACACTTCAGAAGAAAAGAAAAAAGCCTAATCTCTATACCTAAATTCATGCTAATGCTGAAATGGCACTGACCTGTCTGATGTCTTGATTTGCTGCCAGGATTATCTCGTTCATAGCAGGGGGTGGAATTTTCAAACCTTCTTTAAATGCAATAGACATCATGGCACCCTGTAACACAAACAGTTCTGAGAAACTGACAGAGATTTCCTATTAATTCCTTCCCTTACAGAGCACGTTATCAATGTGCTGGGTTGTTTTGTTTTGTTTTTTTATTTTAAATTAAGTATAATTTAAACTGTTTTCTTTCTGAACATACAAGTCAAGTCAGTCCTTGACACTGGTATGAAAAAAAAAGAGATCATTTTCAAAAAATCCTTGGATGTATTTAAGATGGACATCTATATCTGAATGGCTTTGAGATACTTGAGTCTTTCCTCCCATAAAGCCAGACAACCCCATTTGGGAAAGCAGAGTAACTCAGTGAAGTGACCTGCTGAGTTTCAAGCAGTGTTTTCCAATTCTCTATGAACTGTGCCACACAGAGATAAGATTGCTGCTGGTAATTCAGTGCAAGCCATGCAGCCATCTTTACCTTAATCTGTTCCAGACGAGGTCTCTGAAAACGAAGATCAAAACAATAGTGGACCAGGGAACGAATTTTCGGATGGTTTCGATCGTTACACATACAGATGATGGGGATCTTTGTGTGTCTAATCAAACCAATCAGTTCCTGCAATTTAAACACATTGTAACAATTGCATCAAGTACCTCAGAAGATGAGAATGCTTAAATTGTCATATCAAGCAGCATTAGTCCTTGCCTTAAATCAAATCTTTTTAAGATTGAAATCAATAAACCAGCTCCTTGCTTTAATTGTATTTCCATAGTGAAAATGTTGCCCCTTTTTCCTACTTTTTCTGCATGTTATTCTCTTGAGCTCCAAGAGTACTGACATCTAGCCAAAGACCAGTTTGACCCAGACTGTGCCCAGAGGGAGCACCCATCTTCAACCATTCCCTGCCACAAGCAACGAGGAAGTAGAAGTAAAAAGATCAAGTGTTCCCTGCTCAAATAACTCAGCCCTGCACGTTGAGCTTAAGCTACCATAGCAATCTTTGGCTGTTCTAATGGAGGTGAAATTCAGTTCAATTTCAGATCATGCAAGGTAAATACGTGTATCTGAGCTAAAGGTCTCTATGCTCTTTGTCAAAGTACTGCACTGGCCATTGTCTACTGAAGGAGGTAACTGTCCTAAGCTGGATTACAAACCTTCCACTGCTGGCAGACATCAGCTGCAGAGAGCCTGCTATAAATTCACCCTCCAAGAATAAACATCTATGGTGCACACAGCTGAGCTAAAAGGTTTGTGTGTTTATTTGTTCTGCAGAGGTTGGTGGTTTTGTTTTGTTTGTTTTTTTTTAAACTAAATGTCTTTTTCCCACTTCTATCACTGCGTAATTCTCACACAAAGATACATCACTAAAACAGGTCAGTGAACCATAACCTGGAGGGACTGCGACCCACGGCTGAAGACAACAGAGAGGCATGAAATATGGCAGGCACTCTGCAATGGCATCAGCTAATAACTGTAGTAGTTTCACCTGAATCCCTCCTCTGTCTTCATTGCCTGCCATACCATCCACTTCATCCATGATCAATACGTGTTTCCCACTAACTGATGAGGATGTGCCTGAAAATGAATATGGACAAGAAAATGAGATTGCAATACAATATTTTACTCCTAAGGGAATAAAACAGGATCTTGCTCAGAGTTTTACCCAGTGTTTCACACATTATGAAAGCCCAACCTAGACAGCTGAAGCAGCGATGAACCTTTTGTCCGAGCTCTGCCAATGTGCTGATATGGAGTTTATGTTCACAGAACAGAGCTGTCTGTAACTCACGTCACCGTCCCAAAATTAACTGCTGGGCAACAGAAGAACAACTGCAGAGTCCTTCAGCAGCCTGTGCTGATTAACAGCTTATCCTCTTAATAACAGGATTTAATCCTATGTTGAGGATGAATTAGCACAGCTTACTAAATCAAGCTACTCTTATTTGAGCCTGATCACTTCCACATGATGAGCACATCCAATTCCTAACATGACTGTGCAGTAAGGAAGCTCTGTCCCTCCTGTAACTGCCTACAGCCAAGCCCACCTTCAAACAAGACATACCTGAACAGAAATCTTTGATGGTGGTGTTGTTCAGCGATTCAGCAACTACTTCCTTTAGACTGTTCTTACTTCGAGTGTCACTGGCATTCAGCTCCACGTAGCTGTACCCCAGTTCCTAGTCCAAACATAAAACCATACAGAAAAGTGAGACCACACAGACTGGTGAAGAACAACAGCATACTCAATTTGAAACAGTATTTTCAGAATTCAAGAAAAAAGCTTTTGCAACATTACTTCCAAATCTTATCTGTGGCTTTGATTCCTCTCTCCCTTTATCCTCTATGTTCTCACACTCCAGAAATACTTATAATCAAGCATGGAATAGACATGCCAAAAAGAGAACTGTTCCACCTCTCACCCCAACCCAATCCCCTCAAAAAAAAAAAAAAAAAAGAAAAAAGAAAAAAAGGGGCAAAGATTTTGCTGTGAAAGATAAAACTGAACTGTCCCAAGGGACAGAAACAGAACTATGAGCCAAGGCTGGCTAAACTCTATAGTACTTCCAGATGAGTATCCAAATCTCATGCACAGAGTCAGGAAAAGCAACATGCCACATCCCACAGAAAGCTGACAGAAAGGAGAAAGTTAACTATTTAGCAGCTAGAAAATACATGACTCCCTCCGCAGCTGCACCGCTTCACAGCAGGGCTTGTCTGCCTGCAGTCCCTGAAGGAACATAAACCAGCTGCTCCTTTATCAGCAAATTCTCCCAGCACATGCATAGAGCTGCAGCAGGGTACTGCACACAGCTTTATTCCTGTAGCTTGGGTAACCCAGTTTTGTTAGCTTTGTCTGAGAAGCAGAGCTGAGCACTCTGCAGAGAGACCTACAGCAGCCGTGTGTGAGCTAGGTGGAAAAGCTAGAAGCAGAAAGGCTGCACCAGTGCAGAAATCAGCACAAGTCAGCACACTCAGCTCCAGGTGCAGCAACAGCCAGGGAAAACAGCTCTGGGTTATCGACCCTTGGGTTGGCACAAAGCTCAAAGGCCTCTGGAAATGGGGGGAGGGATGAAAGAACGAAAAGGCTGAAGTTATTTTTAACATTTGAATTGTAGAGAGAAGGTGAGCCTTATTTCCCAGTACAAAAGACCAGACAGCCGATGATTCTTCCTGACCCTTGCAAGCCAGCAGTATCTTCCTAAGAATTCTTGAGAGAGAGATTTGTTCTTAAGAACAAAATCATCTGTAACTCACCACAGTATCACTATTAATAACTCAGCTTTAAAGGCATTCCTACCATATGGAGTCCCCAGCTGACTGCCATGAAACAGTGGAGTACAGTGTTGCACTGAGTTTGCAAAGACTAATTTCTAAATTCAGATTTTGAAATGGACACCCAGCTCTGTCAGTTTCTCTCATCATAAAGAGACAGTCAAGTCAGGGAAAGGTATCTCTATTAGTTTATAAAATAAAAAAAAAACCCAAAAGTTTGCCAAAGGCAGTTTCAAAAAGCTTGCCAGAATTCCAGTGCCTCACCACTCTCTGAGAAAAAAGTTCTCCCTAATATCCAATCCAAATCTCTCATTTAGAGCTATTACCTCTAGTGCTATCACCGCACTCCCTGAAAGGGACCCTTCTCCATCATGCCTGGAGATCCCCTCCGTTAAGCACTGCAAGGCCACACTGAGGACTCCATAGAGCCTTCCTCCAGGCTAAATATGCCCACGTCCCTCAGCCTCTCTTTGTGGAAGAGGTGCTCCAGTATCTGACCATCTTTGTGGCCCTTCTCTGGGCCACCTCTAAGTCTGTTCTGACTAGGCAGAGCTAGGCTGGGAGCAGAACCTGATAGTTCAGGCAGTAATCACCTGCACACATCCATATAAAGGATCAGTATAAGATAAAGTCTTGGGAACCAATTTTCAAATTTGAAAACTAATGATTAACGAAGACTCACCTTACAAACTAAAGAAGCTGTGGTAGTTTTACCAACTCCAGGTGGACCAGAGAGCAATGCTGCTTTAAAACTAGAACCATCATCTTTGCCTCCAGATTTGTTGGTCTTTGCTATAAAAGAAGATTCCAGGTTTTACATACATATATACACTGCACATTTTATGTAAACCTTTGAAGATATCAACTATTACAGGAGTTTCACATTTAAGGCTTGATACGAGTATCAAAAAATAAAATATACACACATCTTAAGCATATGGGCAAAAGCAGTTTAAACTGTACCAGGTAAGATTCTAAACTGAAATATTAATGCAATAAAACTATTTCAGCCATTTTCTGACAGCAATATCATAGGGAACAACACCACAGAAGAAACCAACTACCTGTGACAGCTGCAGCGAAGCTTAACTACTACTTTCTCAATAAAGAATGCCTGTAGGGTTGCTCACTGCACATGACAGTGGCTACTTGTCAGAGAACCTTAACCACTCCTCTCGTTCCTCACGCATGAAGCCAGCCCTCTAGACATACTGCTAGCCCACATTTTCCCCACGTGTACAGCCAGGTTAGCACTGATGACTATTTCTCTCGGTGAAAAAGAATTGAAATAGCCTGGATGCTATTTATATAGATATTACTGCTAGATTTTTTTCATCTGCTTTGGAAAACAACAGTCACATTTAAGAAAATACCACACAGCACCTTCAGACAGAAGTAGGGGGTAAGCGAGCAACTGCTTCAACAAAACACTCAGGCTCAACTGTTTCTAAAAACCTGCATCTGAATTTAGAGTCATTCTGTTCATACTGTGTAGAGTTGCTCTCCCATCACAGAGGGCCCCCACCAGCATATGGTACCAAGCAGTGCAACTGGCACGGAAGAACAGAGAGAAGTTGACCATGCTCACCACCTTGTCCATCTTCTGAGGTATTCCTGTGCCAGCTTCGGAGCCATCGGAGGAGTTTATTGGCACAGCTTTGCTCCCCCTGCTGTCCAATTATCGCCTTAAGAGATGCAGGCTTGTATTTATCTACCCATAGTAATGCCTCTGTTTTATTTTCACTGCTCTCAGAAACCAAAGTCCCCTTATGTTTGGGGGCTTCTTTCTTCACTACAGTTTGATGTTCAAAGTCCTTAAGCTTTCGAATGGCAGTAGCTTCTTTCGTGACAGATCTGAAGGTACCTCCCTTTTCAGGTGTACGATTACTTTTCTTCCTGTCAGCTTCCCTTTTGAGAGGGCTAAAATTCCTTTTGCCAGACTCTGTTTTCTGTGGTGTCTTTTTCTGTCTTGATTCTGCCTTCTTTGCCTTAGGAAAATTAAACAAAAATTGAAAAAATATATATTAATTAACGTGCTGTGCTTGAACATATGCAGAGGCATGCATAAGAAAGTCACAGAGCTTGTGTACTGATAAACACCCTGAAGTAAACCAAGGAACGTTCTCTGAAAATTAAGCCACTGTTAAACAATGCCACCAGGTTGTGTAGCAGAACCCACTACACAAAGTGTCCAGGTCAGCCCAGGAGTAGTCCAACTTGCAGCACTCTCCTTCCTCACTGAGTGTGATGCATTATGAAAAGAAATCACTTGAAACCAATGACTGTCAGGTTGCAGAGAACAGGCCTTCCATCAGACACATACAGAGGAGAAGTGCAGATCTTAAACAACAATTCCAAGTCTCAACTCTAAAAACAATTTAACACTAGGAACACTTCCAGGAAACACATTTTCAAAAAAAGCGAAGCACTCCTCTCAAGTACACACTTACAAGAGATCTGCAGCAGCAGTCATTTAAGAAAGCAGAGAAGGTATTTAACCCAAAACAAACAAAAAGGGAGCAAAAGCAATCGGTACAACCTCAGAGCTGCTTCTTGGGATGACATCAACAGTAGGCATTTTGTGTGGCAATTTATGTCTAGACACATCAGAAATAACTGCAATATCTATGCCAAACATAACATTTTTATTTATTTATTTATTTTTTTCCAACATTTTATCAGCCACTACAGGCTAGATTTAATCGTACATAACTATATTTAGTATGGCTTAGGAGGTTCTTTGTTTGTTTGTTTTCACTAAAGCCTGTTATCTAAACACATGGTTATTTATAGCTCTAATGTGCATCAGTACAGTCTCTGGGTACCATATAAAAATCAAAGAACAAAGAATGCTAAAAACTAAAGCCATCTAAGAGGATAGAACAATCCCTCAGACAGCTACCTAAAATACCTAAATGTGAAAAACAATGTCAGAGAATAAAAAGGTTATAGTAAACCTTATCAGTCCTAGGTAGAATTTTTAAAACACAAATACAGTTCTTCAGTTTCAATTCTTTTAACCTATGAGGTCAAACTGACAATCACAGATAAGGCTACTGTTCAGTGAATAAAAGATCAAAGCACCCTGCAATTAAAAAAAAAAGGAAAAAAAAAAAAGAATAACCAAACCAACCTCTGTTTCAGCTGCCAGCTCATACTTGGACTTCTTGCCTGGCATGGTTCGAACAAGATCAAATAGGCCATCCTCATCAATTATTTTTGTCCCTAAAGCTGACGCCTGGGGGCAAAAATAAGAATTAAGAGTATGGTAAATGAGAGCTACATAATTCACTTCAAGATCCTTTCAGCAAAGGCTACGTTTACAAACAAAACAAAAAGCAACAGAAGGCTGTTGTTCTCAATGTATGTGTGTATAAACAAAAATAAACTGAAATCTAAAAACTGGAACTAACTATGCTAAGTAACTTTTCCTTTTTAACACGTTTGTAATGCTCACTCTTTGCAGAGGATAAATGAAAAAGTCAAGTCAAGTAAATAATTTCTTTTTGCTTGCACTTCCTCAGGCACAGTGCTCACCTTCTCACACTTAGACTGCCCGCAGTCTCGTCCCATAACCAGATAGTTTGTCTTCTTGCTGACATTGCCAGTCACTTTTCCTCCGTAACGTTCAATCAGGGACTTGGCCTCATCTCTTTCAATGGACTCCAGAACTCCTGTAATTACGAATGTCAGGCCTTCCAAGCAGTTTTCAGCTCCCTGACAACCATAACATGGAAAATACCATTCAGTGATGCAGTTCTACAAATACTCCTTCATTCAGTTGTTGTGGTTTTTGTTTTTCAAATCTTTACCATGTCAAGTGCTCTATGAAATTTTAAAAATTAACCCAATCTACCTAGCTATAGATAACAGGTGTAGAAGTTCAGAAACTATTAGAAGGAACTGCTCTCAACAATACTTCACACGTTGCTAACCTGACCCTATCACATTCCTAACACTTTCTGCTTCAAGCTCAGCAATGTCAGTCAAAGGAGTGACAGCAACCTTCAAACACTAAGTAACTATTTTACATCAGCATGGCTTCATAAGCCAGATAAGGAATTTCTTTTCTCAGTATATTTTCTTGCATTCAATCACTGCTTGGCATTCCAATTTAGTCCCCCTTCCCCCCATTAAAAAAACCTCAAATAGTGCAGTTGATGCTTGTTAGATCACTTGTAACCAGAAGCCTATGATGCACACCACTTCTACTTAGAGAAGTTCGACTGTAGCCAAGCTTACTTGAGGTATCTCTTTGGAACCCAGAGCTTTCGGACCCTCGCGATTGAGGAAGCTTCTGTAGGCTTGATAGTTGCTTCGTCTCTTTTCAGAGTCCTCAGGACTTATAGACTTGGGCAAAAGAAAAATAAATACATGGTACATATAAAAACACATTTATTAGATACATAAAATGCAATGAAAAACACAAGGATTGCAGTGTAAATGATTCCTATGGAACAAAGATAAAGGAGAATTAAATGTCTGTTTTTACGTACTAAAAAGTAACACCAAAGCCCGTGGGATTTTTTTGTTGCTGTTTGGAAAAGGAGGTTGTGAGTTTTTTTTCTCTGGGGTGGGGAAAGTGAAGGGGGTGCTTATGGTGATTTTTTTCAGTCATACTTTGTTTTATTTAAAGAACTGTATCCAATATTTATTCTCAGTTTTCATATCTTTATCTGTACTCAGCATATATGTGTTAATTTTACTAATGAAGTCATTACTTTAAATTCACATCCAATTTGATTCCAGAATGATGATCAGTTACTGACATGCTATAGTATGCTATAGTAAGAAGTAGAAATGCTAGAAGTAGATTATAAGTCATGGAAGCTTTTTATTTTTTAAATTTAATTCGGGTAATAAAAAGGGAAACCATGAAATTACCAAGGTTGGAGGAGATCTCAAAATCAAGTCATCAGCCCATCAGCAGCATGCCCACTAACCATGTCCCTCAGTGCCACATCCATGTGGCTCCTGAATGCCTCCAGGGATGGCGACTCCACCATTTCCCTGAGCAATCTGTGCCAATGCATCACCACTTATAGAGAAGAAACTTTTCCTAGTATCCATCCTGAACCTCCTCCATTGCAATTTGTGGCCACTACTTCTCACCCTATCAAAATGCCACAGGCTTTCTTCTCCCCCTTGCAACTATTATTTACATGCAAAAAAAAAAAAGATTTTTATTTTATGATTAAAAGGTACATTTTGCAGTAGCCAACAACTGTTGGAATATGTTCAATCACTTGTTACTGAATCAGACAGTTAAGAGAACGCTGAACTCCATTCCTATGTAACATTTTAACAGTATGAAATATATTTCAGAGACAGGAAATTTCAGAGGGAGGGGAGAAGAAAATAAGTGATGTGTCTTTAGAAGTATAGCGTTCACAAAATCACCTCTGTTTCATTTGCTGCCAAAAATCCTGCATTACACAGGCTTTCAGGAAGTTAAATGAGGAAAAAAAAAGTACTTCACTGATGTTTCAGTGTTTGCGCACATCTTAGAGAGCATTAAAAAATGCTCAATTCCTTGACGTAATTCATCTGTATTTGTCCAGCTAATTTATCTCATACATTTCTAGAATTGCTAGGAACTGGAGTTCTACTAAGATTCTAAATTCTTAAAAAATCACCCAAAACACACACAAAAAAGTACCTGGATACAACAGTAACATACAATAGGAAAATTGCTTCCCTGTAAGCTCCACCAAGCCAACTAGGTTCACATGAACAGCTCCTACCTCAGCCTTCTTGGGAGAAATTTTCTCCTTCTTGGGTGTTCTTTTCTCCTCTTTCCCCGTAGCATTTTTTTCTTTTGATATTAAATTTTGAGTGCCACTTTCCTTTTTAGTAGTCTCCTCCTTCTGTTTTAGAGCCACAAGCTTCGAGGTAGGTTTCAAAGGCAAGGTTTTCTCTGTCACTGCCCTTGCTATTTCACCATCAGATGACCGTGGATGTAAGTTAGGCTCTCTTGAATTTTCAGATTTAGTTTGTTCTTTTACTTCAGCTGCCGAGTTTGTTGCTTTCGCTTGAAAGAGGCAAAGGAGTGAGAGTACATAGGTAAGAACATACTGAAATTTGAAAACATTTCACCAATCCACCCTATTAGAAACCCACCTCTATGGGATTGTTTGTATCTTCCCGTCACATTAGGACTGCTCTTGATGCTCAACACCGTTTGCTCCTCCGAATCTCTCCGGGCCTAAGCAAACAAATGATGCAAATCAGAAACGTGTGTCCCAAAATGCCATTAAGCGTTTGTTTCTGTTTGTTTGTTTTATAACTGTTCAGTACATCAGACTGAATGACGTGCACAAAAAAGCTGCTCCCTACCACAAGTGAGAATACTATCAACAGCAAGCAGATGAGCAAATCCTACATTCAGCCATACACATAATTGTTTTTTAATTCAAACAGCTTCCAGTTTGTATGTTTCAACTCTCATAGCAGTAGCACTAGCAGAAGTGTTTGCAATATCCAGAAGAGCTATCCTAACTTCCAAAATCCTAGATGTGTAACGCAGGAACTGTTTTACTGTACCATAAGTGGTCCTGCGCCTCACACCACAAGCTATGGCAACTAGGAGAACTCCCATCACTGGGGTTAGAGATAAAACTGAAGATCCCTGCTTGCCCCTTCTCTCTGAAGATGGAGCATATTCTCTTCCTTCCTTTCTCTCCCATCACTTCTCACCATTCTGTGCTCTTAACTCACTTTTCTTGATCTGGTCCTCAGGAAACAGAGGAGCTAAAGCTGACCTAAGGTATCAGCCCTCAGCATGTCACTTCACTTCAGGTATTAGAGAGACGAGCAGACCATTTCTGTGAAATGAGCAGGGATGGATGTAAAACTTTAACCTAAAGGATATGATCCTTTCCATCACAATCGCTGTTCAAATGAAGAGCATCACTCATAAGTGTGTACATTCCCTTGGAACTGAGACTGGTTCAAAAGCAAATCTCAGCATGTTGTAGATGACTGCAAACGAAACAAACTATCTCACAGGAAAAAAAAAAATCCACTGTGAGTTCCTAAATTCATAAAAATCAAATTTGGATCAAGATCGTGAACTGTGAATGGTTGGAGAATGGAAAAATTATAAGGAGGATCATTCAACTATTTAAACCATTCTCATACTTTAGGTACATGCCTTCATCCATTGAGATCATACATGGAAATAATAGTTAAACCACTGGTCTCAGCTGTGGTATGGCTGTAACAAAGGCTTTTTGCCAGACAAAACAGATTCTGACCCACTCACTATAAGATGAAACCTACAGACAGGTACACGTGTCATGACACAGATGATCTCCACTAGCAGAAGGAACAGAGGAGACAAAGCAGCTTAGATGCATCCACAGACAACTGAGACAGACTTCATTAGAACTATAACTTAGATTTACATTTCAAGACAAACAGCACAAAGATATATTCGTGTTTGCTGCTAGAAATGACAATTTACTGAGTGAAGAAATCCCATGAAGAAAGTGTAAAAAAGTGAGTATGTTATTTTCATGCAAGAAGAATTTTTTTGCTATTTTTAAGGCATTTGTGTGGAAGCTTCTTAATTTTAGACACAGATGAGGTGTCTCAACAAGATAACCCCTAGCAATACAATTTCGAAAAACCAAAGTTTAAAAAGAATTCAACCTTTTTCTTCTGTGGTGTTTCATCCAACATTGCCAAAGTTCTAGCAAATTCTTCATCTTCATGCAGCTGTCTCTCCAGCTGGGAGGAGAGAAAAGAAGTTTTAGAGAAAGGAAGTTTCAGTTCTACTATCTTTTAAAACTCTTTACTGTTCAAGACAAAATATCTAAAATAAGATGGCATATAATTGGGGTGGGTAGGAGGGAAGGGGCAGGAAGATGGGAATATCCTACCAGCTTACCAGGTACAAATAAATTTCTGAAGGTGGCACTGCAGAATGACTTGTTGCCCCAGAAATGACATAAATAGTGCAAAACTAGAGTTTGAGTTTGTTGCACCAGACGTGTTAACAGGCCCATACAATCTGTTTTTGAAGTTGTTTTCTGTCCCTTCAGATCTTTGTTTCACATAGCAAGGTGAATGCAACACATACAGTTTCAATTGATCTTCGGGTAACCTCTTCTATCAAACATGACCCTTTGGGGAAAACCTCTCTTCCTTAATTCAGTGAGCATCACTGTAAGTAAATACCGACCGCTCTTCCAACAAAACAACAAAATCATTTCATTACTATCCTAATGTCTAACATGCCACATTGTAAGACTCAAGCAGATGACCTTGTAACAATAATATACCACAGGCACTGTTTTTATGTGCCCATAATGATTAAAAGAATGTCTTCCTTGTTTCCCCTTGATAGGGGAAGGGCACAGATTACCAAACACAAACCAGACTGAGGCAGATACGCACCTGACAATGCACATTCCTCTGATTATATGTCAGATGATTACAGAGTTATAGTCACACAATTGCTGCTTTTGTTGGAATCAACTCAGTTTTCCTAACATATTATTTAACTTTCCAACACAATAAAGCCAAATTTATCACACCTCCGGAGATGTCAAGGATAAGGTCATGTTTTGCACCTAAGATATCTATTTCTAAGGATGCTCAATACTACCAACAGGAAATGAACAGATTTTCCCAGAGTAAAGCCAACACGTGTGACAAGTGTGCCTTTGCCTCAGGGAATAAAACACATACAATTGCAAGGAAGCAGAAAACAAGTTGTGTGAAAAACAAGATTTTAGACACCTGCATGGGTAGAAACTGTCTGCAGAGACAGAAAATAGGTGAAACGTTCTATTTAAGTAACTGAAATAATGGCTATAAATCACTGCCTGACTAAGTTTTCATAAATCTACAAGAGTTCAAGCAAAACAGAGGTGCGTGTGCACATGTAATTTATAGGATCCACAGAGAGTCTATCTTCATTTCTTAACATTTTAAGTTAAACAAACTGCCCCGGCATACAGCAACAGATTTATACAGCTTTTACCTCCGAATCTTCTTCAAGCTGCAGTTGCCTAGCAATGGCCTCATCATCTAGTGTGCTGTCTGCGCTTTGTGAAGGCTATATGTAAGGAAAAAAAACAGACCAACAGTTCAGTTCGCTCAACATTTTATAAAAATTTCATTTTGTGTACTTCTAGAAAAGGACTGGTAAGTAGACATGCAGCATTTTGTCCCTAACCTGTACACATTTAACCAGGACTGTTTTCAAGAGGTTTTACTATCCAAAACAAAACCACGGTGTAACCTGCGTATCGCTTCTTCAAATAGTACTGAACACCTCTAAAGCTACCACAGCTGGTCAGCTTCACAGGGCCAACAACTACACTGTCAATTTTGAACTTCCTCCACACTACACTTGTTGCTTTGTTATTCCATGAATGCATACACTATAAAGCTCTGGAAAACAACATTATTCCTCTTCCCCCTGTACAAGCTCACCACACCCCACCTTCACCCTTCTCTAAACTATAAGCTACCTCTTTGTTTACTCCTCTCATAAAACTGCTGTAATATTTTAAGAAAAGTTACGGGGGAAAAAGCAATAAAGAAAGCACTGCTTCCAACTTTATGCTCTCTTCTCAAATATAGAAGCACTACTCTACAACTGTATTTGCAGACTTGATATGCTTGTATGTACTGTCAAAATTGCCCTTACACTTGAGTGGTTATGAAAAAGTAACCTTAAGCAGTACAAAAGGAAGAATCGTTTGAAGGCCATTAAGTAAGCTATTTTGTTCTGCATTCAGACACAGAGCAACCTAAAGGAGCACCATCAGTACTTACTTCCTTCCTTTTACTCGCTACCAGTTTCTTTTCTGACCGCTGGACACTTCTTGTCCCAAAGTAATCAAGAGCTGAGGTGGGAGTCAGTTTCACTGGAGATAATGGTTTGGTTTTAGCCTGTGGCTTTACATCTCCTTTTTTCACTGCTGCTGTTCCTGGACAACTGATTGCTGATGTCCCATTCTCCTTCGGTTTCAAGGAAATTCTCTTGTTGACAAAGTCATCCTCTTCATCTAAATATGAAGAATATTATATTACTTCTGATACGTGGTTCTCATAATGTCCAGAGAATTACTTTGGTCAGGTTGCATTAACATAGACCCTAAGACAATACTAGGCACGTTTGAAGTTGATTTGGAGCAAAAGAGGGAAAATAAATAGCCACATTCCATAACATAATATTTAGCATCTAAATAGCGTAGCTAAGTCTGACTACATTGATTGCTAAAATAAAGCTTCAGGTCTTCAGCCTGCATAAACACATTCCATCTTATTTACAAAGGTCTGCAGAGTGTCTTCCCCTCTTACGTAAGATAGCACATAAACAGAAATACAGGTCACTGAAATCTGAACTGCCATTCAACTGCACAGCACAACTCTTGAAATAACATACGTAAAATAAATCTAGCTTTGTGTTTCATTTGTTTGTAGTATTAATAGATCACCTAATATATGCTTGGAACACTAGAACACTGTACTTACAAGCACCTGCAGTAGATTCTCACATATGATTATAGGGTATGAATAATTACTTAGTTATTTGTCAAGTCCTGCTCACACCTTGTGAGTGCATTAGCAAAACGTGCTGTTAAACTGTCTCTGCTTAGTCACACATTCTAGGAGCTATCTTCTATTCTCTGTATTTCTGCAGTTAAACTCGCTGTCCTTCCAGTACACCCAGAAGCACCTCAAAGAAATCCAGCCGTTTCAGAGAAAGCAGGAATCACACAGGAGTTCAACACACAAAACCAGATTTTTCAATAAAAAAGAATGACACCTCCAAACACAGGAGGCGAAGGAAGCAGTACACACAGTAGCAATAAGTATTAGCCCACAGATCACTGAACAAAAACAAAACTCAATTTTAGCTCTTAGGATTCATAACATCACAGAGTGGCCTAGGTTGGAAGGGACCTCAAGGATCACGAATCTCCAACCCCCTGCCAGAGGCAGGGCCACCAACCTCCCCATGTACACTGTTTTCTAGCAATGGAAAACAGAAAGAAAGCTTGATGGTCTTCCATTCATTCTGGATCCAAACTCTTCACACAGTCAAATCAATAAAAAGAGATCACCAAGGACTTCCAGGAGTTGTGTGTCACCTTGTGAAGCCCTGCTGATAGTTATACAAATGAAACCCTATCACTGAAGCATACAAAAAGCTATGGATACCACTGCCAAACCATCAGATCAGTGTAACACCATAGAAGAAAAACATCACTTTTTGATTAGTGATAAAAACACTTTCTTGTGAAATCTTCTAAGAATTCAAAAGGCATAAGAAGCAAACTGCAAGTGAAGCCCCAAACTGAACAAGGCAATACAAAAGGAATAAGGCTCACTGACTGGCAAGAAACAGAGGCAGTCTTATTTGCATGCCCCTAACTGAAGTCTGCTTTTACTTCTCAAGATGTAGATGTTTTGATCACTCACACAGCACATCATGCACAAAAATGTTCCAAGCTGCTTTATAATTACATTTAAATTCACATTATTATTGCTACCATACATTCATTTTCCAGCCAGCCAGTTTTCTTTATCACTTCTAAGTTTAAATTACATTGTATGCTTGCTATCTCTATTTTATACAAACACAAAATTATAGATCTTTGCTTCTGGTTCACTGTTTCTCAACAGATGGAGGCCACCCAACCATTTTAGGCATCAGCTGTGACTTCCTGCTCCTGGTCACTTACCAAGCAGCACATAACATAAATCAACAGGGATCCTGACTATTCCTGTGAAAGTTCAGAGAAAGAAAAATAGAGCAAAGTACTACAAGGGGAGAAATTGGTTCAGCAGTTAAATGAAGAATGCCTGAAGATAAAAAAAATTATCTAGCAGAAAATGGAATTTCAGCCAATTCAATTCACGAGGCAATATATGAAAGACAAAAGTGAAGCCCAGGTCCCTCTGAAAGCTTCACTGTTCTCAGCCCAATTACGCATTTTGCTCAGGCAGCTGTAGATCCTTTATTGCCATTTAGCTCACTTTAACTGTTATCTATCTGGGAGAGTCAGACACCAAATGCTTTAGGCTCCTAATCCACAGCAGCGTGAGGTCTGGCTATGAGACTGCTCATCTCAACCCAGTTTCAGAATTTTGCTTCTTTTGATATTTCTAGTTTAAATGAGAAAATACATTTGCAGGAGCAAAATGCACTTATTAGTAAAAAAAACAAGTGCATGCGAGAGGAATTACATTTACTTGTTCAAGAAGACATTCAGCTGACCAACTATGAACGTGTTTTTTTTTCTTTTTTTTTTTTTTTTTTTTTTTTTTTAATCTAAAGACTGCTACCAAGCTGGAAAAGAATCTTTATTTACCACTGCTATCACATAACCTGCACACAAGATTGAATTTTTTTTCCTTATTCACTTGTAACCACTTAAATAGCAATATAAAAAAAACAACAGAATATTGCTTTCCCTCAATTAGAGGGAAGTAGAGTAAATATAATTAACTTTTAATTAAAAAGGATGTGGATTTGAGTCATTTATGATGCCAGTACTAAGCACCACGGATGACCAGAGTTTTGCTTTAATTATGTCCTTCCTAGAAACAACAGAATTGGAAGCATTTGCACACGGCAAGTGCTCAGCAAGAACAAGAGACAGCACTTCGGGACAGCCACATATAAATGTAAATAGAGAAAGATGGACAAGAACCCTAAAACAGTCATTAGGAAACAAAGCCACTCAGTGGCATCCAACAGATGCTTTATCAGACAGGTGAGCACCTGTCTGGTTTCATCTCGGGTTCACGAACTTCCCAAAACATCAGAAGTCTACCTCATCTCCAGGCATCCCTCGCTTATTTCCAGCATGTAAGAACTTGAACTTTTTCACTAACACCTTCACACTTCTTCCTTATGCATGCCTAATGCCACAGAAGTCAACAGCATGGTTGATTAATCAGCTGTACACTTATAGTTCCCTTACAAACAAGAAGGTGACCTATTTTACAGCCTTAAAAGTACTAAGGGAGTCCCAGCACCGCTACCAGACTGCTCAGATCACTGCTTCTCACCGTATGACCAGTTCTGTGCTACCACAACGGGAGGAAGACATTCCCACTCATGGAAGCTAGACAACAATTTCTGGGAAAACACAGGGGAAAGTTTTGAATTCAGCTGACAAAATAGGTCAATTGCAGCATTTTCATAGCCCTGTCTTACAGAAATTTCCAGGTGAACAGTCGAGATGGGACTGCAGAAGTCCCTGCCCCCAAATAACGCTAAGAAATGGGAATTCATCTTATCACCAAGTAGATGGCTTTTACTCTGTAGAACATTTGTAGAACAGCACACTACTGTCAGAATAATATTTCCTGTTTATATCCACACATTTTGTGTGTGCTATAAAAAGAATGCACACACTGAACAAATACATCTGAGGTTTAGGTTTTTTTCTAGCGTAACCTCTGAAGACTTACAAATGCAAGCTGAGGACACACATTTTAGTTGAGTTTTCTGGAAATGAAGTAGATGTAACAAAGAGAGAAACTCGTGTGATTAACGGAACAGATGTGCATGACAGCCAGGAGATTGCTTTTAATTATTTTTGATACAAACACTACACATGAAGCAGGGTCCTTCTGCGCCAGGTAATTTACAGGAACAAGCTGCCCTAGCAACAACCAATAACTGTTACATCCTGGATGGGTTTAAAAAACTACTCTGTGACACCTGAACACACCCCACTTCCATTTTATAGCAGCACAATGAGGTTAATCAACTACCTCCTGCAGCCCATTTGCAAGTACTTGTTAGTGCTTGGTTTTAATACCAACTCCAAACACGAGCAGTGCATCCATACAAGGAGTAAGCAGTGTGCATCTATACAAGGAGTAAGCAGTATGCAGTAGGAAAAACTTATGTTAAACATAGAAGCTTGCAGACTTTCACAGAAAGGCCTTCTAAACACAGCTAGAGGATTGCATCCTCCCCCAAAGTCACTATACCTTCACTGCTTGTGTAAGATGACAACACCTTGGATATTCTTCAGTTTTAGTGGTGCTACATCTGCACAAGGACTTCAGATGGCTCCTGCCCTAAAGAACTTGCAGTAGGAATTACTGCCAAGCTGAAGTTCAGGGTGGATAAAGTAATGCTTGTATTTATTACTTTAAGCACGCATTTACCAGTACTTAACAGTTCCAACACAAGTTAGGACTGTATTTTGTATTCAGCTTTTGCTTAAAGTAAGTCTTTAAGAAAGCTATGATAACCGTCTCTCCTAAAAATGTATCCTCTATCACCCTCATCTAAAATCACAGTAGTTCCAATCCATATTTCAAAAACTGGTCTGTGTAGTCATTTAGATTTCCAGTGTCATTTGTCAACAAGCTGATTGATTTCAGGCGTACTACAAACATGTACTTTAAACCATAATTGTTAGTGCTCTGCCTATATCCTCATGTCAAGGTTCCATTCTGTTATAAAAATTTGAAAGTCTACCAGAACCATCCAAGTACCATTCTTCTGAAATCAGTTTTTTTTTTTTTTTTTTTTTACATCTGTTGGGATTTTCCAGTTAGCAGACATAATTTCAAGAAATAGTTATATTTTTCACTCAGGGTTGTGTATCTATCACAAAAGGGTTCTGGGATGCCAGAACCTCAGTGGAATAACTGCCACACCTAATTGGAGTTACACACTTCAGTGCCAAACTACATAACCATTAAAACTCTTTCATCCAGTAAATTCCAAATGAAACCCTTAGTCAAATATGCACATTTCTGTTTTTACAAATGTCTCTAGTGAGACATTTTGGTGCCATTAAAATAATATGGATTGTGATATATTTTTAGATCTAAAATAAATGATCATCACCATAAATAATCTGCAAACCACTAATTAGAGCAACTCCCTTTAAATTAAATAAGCACAGTGCCATAGAAACTGCTGCACGTATCACCCTGGCATGCAATCAGAAGTTATCAGTCCATTAACACTTTCCAGTTCATTACAGAGAGCTTGATGCACTTGAACTGGTTAGTTTCACCATAAGAGCAGCTTTATTTTCCCAAAGCAGATACGAGTCCCCTCCACGCAATGAAGCTTCTTGTTCTGGTTTATTGTCTGAAGTTACCTGCACGATAAGAACATTCAGTGCTGTCAAAGAAACAAGGTGGAGGAAGAACCTTGAAGAAAATTCAAGTGGGGACAACTCAAATATGTGCTCAGAAACCTTAAAACTGATATTTGTAAAATAAGGAGGAGCTGTAATACTACTTTCTAAACGCAAAACTAAGTTTTCACTACAAAGCTTCTTCAAAAACCTAACAGGGTTAATAAAATTTTATTTAAAAAAACACATTTCGTGTGAAACCACACCTCAGGAGAGGTAAAAGGTCACTGGGGATGGGGAAGGAATGGGGAAGTACTACTCCAAACTGCAACTCATGGCTCCTTTAACAATAATTACATCTTAAGAGCTAGGCAGGCTTTTTTTAAAGGATCCATGTCTCTGAGGTCAGGGAAGTTCCCGTTCATTATTATAGGCTAAATAAATTATGCTCTGCTGTTTTCTTAACACAACGATTTGTTGAATATAGCTTTATTCCAAGTTGACTGGGTAAAGAAAAGACTGCACACCCCTTAGGAGATACTTTGAATACTAAAAGCAGTTTTGCTGTTCTGTTGTATTTTTAAAAACGCTAAGCCTCAAAAACCCACAGAAAAATTGCAACTTTAATGCCTAGGAGCATAACTGACTCCAGAAAACTTTATTAGCACTCAACACAGCAGTAACTATTACAAAAGACAGAACAAATGCACATCCTCTATAAAGGAACTGAAAAAGCCCCTAATAATTAAATGTCTGTATCAAAAGATCCAAGGATGATATTTTCAGTAAGTGCTATGCTTTTCCCAAGCCCACAAGAATCTTAAGAAGCATTACAGTCACAGAAAGCCCATGAAGGAGAGTGTGAACTAGTGAGCTTCACCTGGCCAATTTTATCACTCAAATTACATCTACTGAATAGTTAAAATATGCTTACAGTAATGTATAAGTATTGGAAAAAAATTAAATGGGGAGGGACTAAAGCAAACAGAACAGGAAGAACTTCAGAAGTTCTGCTTTTTATCTTCTGAAAAATTATATATAGTTGAGTGCAAAGTTTACTCCAACCATAGCTGCATACTGCCTCTTTTACAACCCCAGGTTCTGGCTTATAACGAGTGCCCTTGTACACAATGCACTGCCCTGAAGTCAGATTCATGTACACTTACAAAAATGCTCTTCTTGCTATTTCTGAATTATTACAGGACCCTTTTGTTGTTCTACCAGTATTTGCAGATTCACACAAGGTAAAACAAGACACATAATCAAGTTTTAAGAAGTACACTGAGCACCCAGGCGCCTAAATAAATTAATTTCCACACAGCTTGCTCCTACACACTTTGTACACTGTCCTCTGCAACACCAGCCCCTGTTTCTCCATCAAATTTCTCCCAGACTCCATGCTATCCTTCCTCGGGTGTATTTTAAGTCAAACTTCCTTGAGGTTTGACTGACCTTTCATAAAATCTGATGAAGAGAAGCTGCTTCATGAAGACCTGTTTTACTACTTTCACTCATTTTCACTCCCGTAAGTACATACAATGCTAATATTGCCCAGAAAGTAAAAGTGAGATTTTTTTTTTACTTCCCTATGAGCTGTTTCAATATGAAACATGCTTATTCACTGACTATCTGCTGCTACTTTGAACTAGTGGTTGGATTCGGGAGATTTTTGGTCACTAGCACCAGCATTTACCCATTTTTTCCATGTCTTCTCTTTTGATATCCTCTGTATGAAAAGAGTTGGTATTCAGACAACACACTGACAAGCTGTGCTTTTTTTGCCCTATATTCTAATCCTTGAGGAATAGCGTTCCAGTAACTTCCATCCTACTCACCTTCTACCAACTTCCATTTTCCTAACTTCACGAGTAATCCAGACTAGCACCTAGAATAAGGCCTTTAACAAATAAATAAATTGTACTTTACAATATTCAGATTGTCAAAGCAATTGCTACACATCCATAAATACCGCTGCACAATATATAAGATAGATTATTGTTCACTAAAAGTAAATTAAGTCACAGTTCCTGCCAAACAGCCACTTATGATGAAACCAGGTAAGCTACATTGCATCATAACAACAGGTCATCTTCCACAAACAAAATCCAAGGTTCCACACTTCTTTAAAATAACACTGTTTGACCATTTAACAAGTACAACAAACATTTGGATTTTTCCCAATCCCCTCACCTGTTCTACCACAAGGCAGGCTTCCCCACCCCAAGACTCTTTGCTACCTCCCAGAATAGCTTCACTTCACCCTGGCTATCATTAATTCAAATAAGCATTAAGTTTGTTTCACTAACAAAGTATTTCTTACAGAACCAGAGAGCAATTACTCCTGCTTTATTTTTTACCGTTCTAGAATAAGTGAATAAAATTCACAAGCTAATACTTCCACTCCTACCCAAACCAGAAACTAATTCCTGCAACAGTATTTAAGAAAACTGGATTTCCCCCCCTCAGTGACACGGGGGATCCCCCCCATCCTTTCAAAAGATATTTATCCCAAGCAAATAGATGGGTCACACACTTGACAGAAACCTCTCCCGAATTCCAATAAGCTGAAGAAACAGTTTATACAGATTCAGTAAAAACAAAATTCAAGAGTTAAGTCTCAAGATTATAAAGATGTTGTTTCAGACGTAGACTAAGTCAACCCTGTATGTACTTAACAATCTTTAGATAAGAGCAACCTTGATCCATGGTTCTCAGGGATTTCACTAATAACCTTGACCAGCACTCCCATTATATCCCTATGAAGAAAAGCTTGATTACACCACCTAGAATTGCATCATGAACCTAATCAATGCTTTTTGTTCTCCAGGAATCCAATCATTTATCTATTTTGAGATCAATGCTATCCTTTATAATTTATTAGGAAAGCTGTCAAAGGAAATTAAGTTTTGAGTAAAAGATAAGAACAAGCAAGATGGAAAAAGTGTTTGGGATAGCTTAGCAAATTGAGTTCATCTCAACACGCGATACAGCACAGATAAATGCCAGGTCAAATATCTAGGACAAGTAAAATAAGCACAATCCATCTCAGAAACAGAGATTATGAAGACAGCCCGGAGGAGGAAAGAGGCAGAGCAAAGGAAAAAGCCAGCCGAGTCACACCTCTAATTGGATGCCAGAGCAAACAAAACTCAGAGGGTTAACAGAAGAACTAGAAATCTAACACTTATAAAACATGTGTCATCCAAGAAGGTTCGGTTTCAACACTGCACAGGCTTTAATCAGTTTCTAGGAATCTATAGTGGGAAAGAACTGCAGCTAGTAAAGATCTCTAGAGCACAAAACAAACGCACAAGACCTCAGTTAAAGTTAAAACATTAAGTTAACGTTAAAGTCTCAGCTAAACTCAGACTGGATGAAGCATGGAACAAGACATAGGCAGATACCCTGCACACTAAGAAACACCTCCATGACCAAAATCTGCCCCTACAGTGTTGTAACTCTGGGGAAATGCTACAGTTGCTTTTACACAGGTGATCCGAGTATGGTAACCAGTACTTGGTATCAAAATACTAAAGTTTATTTGCATTACAACAAATCAATGTCAAGTTACAGTAGCTCCTGTGCAGAAAGATATACTGGTGTTAAAAGCAAATCTGAAAAGAACAAATGTAACAAGATAAGATTTAAAGTGAGTAGCTCTCAGCTCTGAGCAGTGCACCATTCTGAAGCAGAACACTTTTAGTCTTTACCTTACAAAGAGGAACGGAATCAGAACCTTAATAAGTGTCACTATTTTAATAACTGGATTCTTTTTGCCTGCATATACAGTCATACCCTTAAGTGCCACTAAAAGATCTCTTACAGAAAATGCATTGGGAGAACAATTACTAATAAAAACATCACCAGAAGTTGCAAAAAACCTTGTAAATATATCAAATACTCTCAAAAACAAAACTCTTCACATGACAACAAATGCATTCACATACATTCAGCCAAATGTTTTCAGATGCCAAATGAAGTCTATCCCCAAGATGTACTGAAGTATTAAACACCAGAACAGCTGTTAATTCACTTCCACAGACAAATTTCAGAGTTCACAAAACCTGAATATGCTCAATTCACAAGTAAGATGAGCCTTCATAAGCTGCTGTCTACCTGTCAACCAATACCAGCAACTTCTCCATAACATCTCCAATTTAATAAAGGAAACTGCATGATGTGAACAAGTAACGAGCTGTAAACAAAACAGCCTCATGATAGAGCAAAGAAAACCTGAAGGAACAATCACACAAAAAGAGACCAACAGACAAATAATGTTTTTTTTTTTAAAAAAAAAAAAAAGTTTTTTTTGCAGTCACCAATATATTCTTCAAAGTTTAAAGACATGGAAAATCATACACAAAGATAAATTAAAATCCAGATTTTCAAGCCTACTTACGGTAACCAACAGCCATTTCAAAAAATGTGCTTAACTGTATGAAAAAGACATCTCATACATACATACTTGCCTCCTCTACAGCTATGAAGCAAATAGAAACATTCCAGCTTGTGAAGTCACATGCCTAATTCTAATCACTAATCAGAATTACACTGCTTTCCACAATAGCAGAGACTAAAATTCAGAAGTGCTTATTGTTAGCTTAAGGAAAACATAATCTTTTGTTCTCTGTATGAGGTCTTATTACAAGTATTTAAGAGTACATCAGTCAAACAACCCTATGATGCAACCAACCCCACTACAACTGCACACAAAGCATCACGTTTCCATTACCTGTCTCTGAAACATAGACAACAGGGTGCTGCTTTAGAACTTGACCAAGTTTTGGAGTAGCTGCTTTCTTCTCTGATGCCTTCTTGGTTTTTTTCACAGACTGCACCTCCTCTTCTGAATCTGTATTTTGACCACAGCATAAATGTACATTTCTCCCATATACAATACAGACTTTAAGTAATAAATCTTCTAATATCAGTTAATGTGTTCACATACAATGAATCAGCTGTGTTAGAAAAAGGTGTTACATGGAAGGTCAGAGCACAGCCTCATTCCTCTAAAATTTTTGGTTGTTTGTTAAGAATAGGGAAATGTTGTTACACATCTAGGAATAGCTGCATCTGTCTAAAATCCCCCCCGAAAATGAGTACAACTGTCAGATTACCACAAGTTTTAAAAATAAAAGTTATAAAAACCACTCACACCTCATCACAACAGACCTTCAGCATAGATTCATTAGCCAGATAAAATTTATAAGGCATTGTACATAATACATTATACATAATAAGCCATTACGTTGGCTTATTCTACAATACCTATTTCCAAAAGCTATCAACAGGCTAGAGTAGATAAATGAGGTTGTATTCCTTCATTTCTCAGGAGAACACTGCTAAGCTGCCACTCAGCTCAACATCCTCTACGTCCCAAAAGCTGACAGGAGGACAAACCTATCCCACAGAAGACGATATATGCCAACATCCAAATAAGTATGCAGGACAGGCTGAAGCAGCAGACACAACTAGCATGTTTAACAGAAAGTTACACTTCAAAGCCTAGCTTTTTCCACATTAAATCCTAATATATAATTAAAATTATAATAACAGAAAATGAATATAAAAATATATTGAAAAAACATCCATGCCTAATTGACTTTATTCTCTCTAAAAAAAAAAAAAAAAAAAAAAACTTCTCCATCTTTATGAACTCAGAGCAGTATTTCTCTTCTCCTATTGACAATGGGCAAAAATTAGCAATATCCGACAATAACAGCACTATAGTGAGATTGTGCAAATATTTGAAGGTAGAAGTTGAATTACGTATTACCTCTGTACTCCAGCTCTAAACAGAAATATTTCTACTGCTATTCCCTACAACAAGCTTTGTGTAAAACAGTTTATTTGAACACATCTGCACGCTATTATAAAATAGCATCATTCTGACAGATGCGAGTCACCCCTTCTCTTCTACAGAAGAATCCATTGTCTACTAAGTCACTAAAACTTCAAGATAAAGTCTTCAGTGGAACAATTGTAGAAACTCCTGCTGCCAGTTTGACACTTTCACAGATGTTCAGAAACCAGCCAGAGATTAAATGATATCACAGACAGGAATAATGCAGAAGTTCAAAAGCCCCATTTTAATTTCACTAACCTGACAGGCTAATGGTTTATTTGTGATTTCTTTGCTGCTCTTTATTTGTTTGTTTTTCATTTATGAGTGCTATAAAAGGTGTTTTCCTTATTATTACACACAATATTTTTAGCAAATCATTATCAGTGTTTTAAATAATGGAAGAAATAAGTTCCAGATGATACATTTAAAACCATAATACATTTATGCAATTGTAAAGTTATACTACACCACCAGTCACCTGTATCCAGGGTAGGGTGCTACTTATCCTAACAGGACAGGAAAAACTAAAAACTCCCCATAGTCTAAATATGTATCTATATATCTATATATTTCTTCACAACCATGAAGTTCTGGAATTTTAATAGAATTAGCTATTCGGAGTAGTTTTTAATTTTACTTTTTAAACAGAAGCTTTGTTAGAAATGCACACGCAAGGCACAGGCTTCTCTCATCCATCATTTTTAACCATCAAACAATTATTACAGTGAAGCAATAAAAATCACCAGTGCATTCAAAGATACCTCCCTCCCCTAGCAGAGCTACCTATGAAGTGTTCTTAATTGCATTTAAACAAACCAAGCACAGCTTTCTGTCAGATGTAGCATTTACTTAATCAACCCTTATGCAAAAGATAGAAAGGAGTATTCTGAGACAACTGTGAACATCACCTGAATCATAGATTATTCTTTTTTTCTTGTATGCCTGCTTTTGTTTGGGAACATCTTCACTGGGTGAACTCTTCACCTAGAAGAAAAAATTTATTGGCTCAACCAGCAAACAGGTCCTCCCAGCCTTTAATCAGCTTCAATTTATGAGTTTAAAACCATTTCTGACGGATAATTTATTTATGAGTATTACTTTTAAGAACAATCTTTTTCTAACTTGTGGGTGGGAGTGGAAGAGGGGCCAGGGAGAGGAGATGAGGAACTAACTGCACTAGCAAAGTTCAGCATGCTCCAAGTAAACAGCAGGCAATTAAACTGATAGTAAATACTCCACTTTAATGCCAATTAAAGGAAATCAAACAGATTTTCAAGCTGTTCCAAGTTTTTAAAGTTATGACTTTAAAAAACGATACAAACAATCACATAATCAAGAAATGAAGCACCTTACAAATAAGGAAAGCAAGACTCACCTTTGTTTCCTTTCCCCTCTTCTTCCCACTCGATTCTCCTTCCCCATTTTTTATCTTCTCACTCTTTTTCACAGCCTGGCACTCCTGTTGCTTTCCATGAGGCACAACTCCAAAGAATTTCCGGATATCCTATTTAAAGGACAAACACTTTCATAAGGTTTTAAATACAAGTAACTCCTACAAGTTTCACACTGCAAAAGAGCAGAGCACTTGAAAGAACGAATATTACTCTCAGCAGCTCCTGTTATTTGTTGACCTACAAGTTTTTCCTCAAAATTACAAAACAAAGACTAAATAGTTAAAAGCAGCGCTCAGATACCGCACAGCCTTTCTCTTGTTTCCCAGTCACAAAAAAAAAGGTATTTTTCCCCTTTCGAGAGTCATCTTACACACTCAGAATCTTTCATTAGCAATGAAATGCAGTGACTTCAAACAGATGTCTGCCTGGGGTTGCTTTTTCCCACTTAATCATCACAAACTGAGCCCAAAGTATTTTGATAGTTAACGTGACCAACTTGGGCATGATGTAGAGCGCAATGTGAAAAGACAAGAAGTGCCAGGAGCTACAAAGCAGCCTATTGGCAGGACGTACCATACCCTCCACCTTCTAACAAATTTAAGGCAGTGACTCTGATCTCACTGAAAAAATTAGCTAGCAAAAAGCAAAGTAAGATTTCAACAAAAAGAAAAGTTAATTATATTAAGAATACAAGACTCCAAAAGGTGGATTTTGGAACCATATTTTCTTATCCTACCATAGAAGAACCATAAAAAGCTCTACTCAAGACTAGAAACTGAAGCTACAATTAAAATAAGCGCCAGCCCCCCCCCAAAACCCTATTTGACAACTGTTTATTAAACTAGCATTACAGCATCATTAAAAAAGAAGCACAAAATCTGTACCTCCTTGGTATCACCACTTCCAGGGGCAGCAGCCATTTCAGCTTTCATTCTGAAAGTCTCTGGTATGGCCAAAATATATGGCAGGTAAGGGCTGTGGCTCAGGGCCCTACCCTCCCCAGCTGCTAACTATTCCCTATTAGAGAGCAGCAGCTATCACACATCTAGGTAGTGTTATCCCTCTTGTAGTAAAGTAGTAAATGCTAAAGAAAACATAACATGAAATCTCCATACAAACATGATCAATGATTATGTCTGCATCAGGTTCCTTTTTTCTCACCAGTTCCCTCATGATTTGGATTAGCGGAGTTTATTGGGCTGAAAACCAACAGAATAAAGAACTTGAAAGCATAAAATGGGACACATACAGATTTATTTAGTATGCTTAGCTTAAAGCAATTTTCTAGAATCAGAAGTGTTATTTCCTGTAGAAACGCAGTCTGTTTACTTTTTACCTGCATATGTGACTGATCCAACAAATGAACACTGGTAGACTGAGAAGAATTCCTCTTCAGTAAGACTGTACACGTTTCTATCTATGGAATCTGCTCCTCAAGGCATTAATTTTCAACACCCAGCTGTTTTACACACACTCCTCACGCCATAGTCTAACACTCTGAAATTCTGACCCCAGTCAGAACGTTTGAGCAAAGCACCTACTTAAAAAAACCCTAAGAAGTTATGTAGTAGATTTGTGACCCCGATAACTCCATCAGCATTACTGACTTCTCACATGGCACACAAGAGAAAAACTGCTTACAGTCCTCACTAGATCTTTTACATAGTAACAGAATTTAAACACTACAACACTGCAAATCAAACTGACTTTAGATTAAGGTGAGATTCTTATAGTGATAGATGTTAGTTATAACTTTAAAATATCTGGTGAATAATTATTTTTAAATCACTAGTAACTCCATTCTAGTAACTTAACTAAAAACTCCTTGAGCGTGCTGATATGCATTAATATTAGACTGTTTTGTTACAGACTGATGGAAATTGTATGGCAATACCATCATATCCTGGATTCTGAAATGAAGGCTTAGTAAAGGAGATGCATGAAACTCATCTGCCTGCCCCAGGTTCTTCCACTACTTTCATCACTGTTTCTCGACTGCTAAAGCCTAAATCATACCACATAAATTCTTATTTTCTGTCTCATCAGATCTCATGACTTTTTTGTTTTGCTCAAAGCAGCATCTTCTAACTATCAAGCAATCAATCACCACCACACTACTTTTTCCTTGAAAGTGCTGCTGTAATATAGCAACTACAGATTCTAAAACTGCTTCCCTGTGCTAACACAACACTGTTATCTTGGCTGCAAATTATCAGTCCTCAGAAACAGCAGCATATTTCCTTCTGTATTTCTAGTACTGTTTGAGCGTATTAAACACTGTAAATGTAACCACACAGAAGCCACCATTTCAGGCCATTTCTGAATAAAGGATTTTATTTAAGTAATAAATTTTCATTTCCCATATTGACAATCTTCTTATGAGTGACTAAACTACAAGCCCTAAGCTACAAAGGAAATTCAGCAACTACGTACCATTTTCTTCAATCTTCAGTTATATATCCCCCAATTTCCTCCAGTCATCCTACTCTTCAGAAGGAAAAGTAACCTTGTTAGCCATGGCTGGGCTATAACAGATGGTGAATTCAAAACTGCGTGGGATACCAGTACATCACAGTGCAACAATAAAGTCATCTTTCAGAGAAGTTTTTATCTGAGATTCATAACAGAAAGATCTTATGCTATTTATCAAGGGACGTCAGACAATTCATTGCACCTATTGCAGAAATGAAGCAGTATATGTATCGATCAAAACGACTCCAGGAGATGCACTACGTAAGCTTGGTTCCCAGATAGCACTGCCAGCCACCATTCTGGTTTTACCTATTTAACATCCTGTGACCAACTATATTGTTGGTATATAATGCCACTCATTCCCAAGTTCACCATTTGGCAGAACTGCATATGCTCACTCAAATGAGAGAAGGCTGATAGCAATGTAACATCTCCTCTGGGACCTGTGTCCTGTGTGCCTGTGGAGAAACACTGATCAGCACGAGTGCCCAGGCAATCCTTTAAAGAGCTAAAGAGCTGGGGCTATTTTAGTGCAGCTCCCCGGGGTGCTTCAGCTGCACCAATCCTATGCATAACTTGGAGCGGTTTCACACAAAGAAGAGGGAGGGTCAATGAAATTACTGCTTAGTGTGACAGTTTAGAGGCATCTGAAATCAACAGCTACCAAATAAAGGATTCTGAGCCACATGTGAGCACCAAATTTTGCAGACACCTAGCCACAGTCCCGATCAAGGCCCAATACTTCTGATCACTCCCACTAGATTAGGGAAGTAGGTAATGCCTAAGACCAGGAGAGCCTGAACAGCTGTGTTCATGTGGGCTGCCTCCTGCTCAGCTATCTTCCTAACTGCACAACCTCAGTACTGGCTCTGCAGTCTAGCTCGTGCCATTTGACTATTGTTTCAAATCCTCAATCTTACAAGACAGCAACAAATCACAGTAGGCTGCATGTTTTCTCTTGGAAGATTTGTATACACCCATTTTACCAAGCAGAAATAGAAAGCGAAACCCACTTGTTATTAGTACTGAAGGGTGGCAATCCAAAGAGCTTACCAGGATAACTTTCAAGACTTCAGTAAATATTCAGTTAAAAAGAAAAGTTCAGAAATAAGCATTCCATATTGGTTTTCTGTGACATTTTTTCATGCAAGAACAGCTGCTCCAGTGTTTAAATGACACAGCAATCCCCACAGCATCAACCTCTTTAAGTAATGGTTTTAAAAGACCAGTGTCCATTAAAGCAGAATACTTTTCAAAATAACATCATACAAATATGTTTGCATCTCTGAACTACATTCTGAAACAGAAAACTGAATTTCATCAACTCAGCTCAATGACTGCAATGGGAAGCAGCACAGCTTCAAGTACTCCAAAAGGTGTCCATAAGTGCCTTGCTTGTGCAGGATAGCTCATACTTATTTACAGTCTATTTTAGTGCACGTTTTGCAAAAACATCAGCTCTGACATCTGGCATCTCCAGAAAAATTGCATTACCTGAAATCAATCGTGTAACATCAGTTAAACCTGGCTGGATAACTATACTGAAGTTAATGGTGGTAATTGAGGCACAGGTACCACACAGCATTTCTAGAGTAGAATCCCAGTTCTATGTACACAGCAGCTTATGCCACAGCATTGGCACAGGACTGTTTCTCTCAGCTGGAGGCAGCTCAGGTAGCCCTGCTCCCTACCACACATCTCCTCAGCTGTATCAGTACAGCTCTTCACACAGGAACTGGGTCAGGCAATTAGTTTAGGTAAAAATTGAATCCCTTCCCCCACCAATCAACTCATTGTGTAACTGCACACATCAGCTCATAAGCTGCATTCTGCAGCTGATAAGCTGCAGAACCAATCTGACAGGGGACACTTCTGTTGGGCACTACACGATAAAAGTCTGTTTGTAAGAGCTCAGTATTACATCCCAGCATGCCCCAGCTGCTCCTGAATATCACAGAGCAGGGTACAGGGATAATGACACTGCTATTTTTTTTGCCTCTACCTTCACAACTGCAGTGCTGTACAGCCACTTCTCTTCAGCACTGGAAAGAAAAGCACACAGACTGAGGCAACTCATCCTTTCTCCACGCTGGCAGTCTTTCTCTCTTCTAGGAATTACCAACACTGAGAGATGCGGGACACCCAGAAGCAGAATACCAAAGGGAAGGGAGGGTCTTCTAGGAAGTTCAGCTTTCTGACAGGCAGTGGCAAGGGAGGCAGCAAATGCCTTGTTCTGCTGCAGAGCTTCAGCAGCCCGTGTGGGGCAGCTGGTGACTTAAATACCACAGGTCATTCGTGTCAGGGCTCTCAGTGCTGGCAGACAGAGACAGCACTGCCCATTAGTGCTTAGCATTGGGTAGAAGATATTAAGATCTAGTTGAGCCAACCTGGCTTTGTATAACATTTTTTAGTTAAGACAGCACAGAACTTGCAGAGACCCCACCTGAGCAGAAACCAATGTATGCAAGCAACAGACGATACAGGAGCCCATCTTATAATGGCTGTGTAAGCGGGAAGCGCTTTGGAAAGGACACACAGGGACACACGTGTGTTTATAGTTACAATCGCGTTAGGGCTGCATCCTCCATTACCGGTAATCACATTTACTTTCAGACTTTCAAGTACTTATTTTTCTGCAAACGCGATACAGCGCCCTGCGCTGAAATAGAAACGCTCTCACGTATCCGGCCTACCGCAAGAGGCGGCGAGCGGCCGGGCAGGCAGCGCTGGGGGGGATGGAAGCATGGAATGCTCTCAGCGGGCGAGCGCACGGCCCGCGCCGGTACCCCGCCGCGTCCGGGGGCGGCAGGAGGCGCGGACACCTCCCGCTCAGAACAGTAAGCCGAGGGACGGACGGTTCCTTGCGCTCTTCCACACGCTGGACCCGGGCCCGCAGGCGGCGGCCTCCGCACCTGAGCGCGGGACCTACTCGGCAGAGAGCCGCGCCGCGCGCCAACGGCTCCAGTGGCACGGGGGCTGCAGCCGCACGCGCCGGGAAGGCGCGCAACCGCCACGCGGCCCCAACGGCGCGATCTGCGCGATGCCGCCCCCCCCTCGCGGCCAGAGCCGCCCGCGCGGCGCCTGGCCCGCGGCCTTTGCTCAGAGCCCCGGTCCTCGCGGCGCGGGGCGGCGCTACGCCGCTCTGCGCGCTCACCATGCTGCTGGCGGCGGCGGCGTTGGTGACCTCGCTAGCGGGACGCCTCCGACTCCATGGCTTCCGCCCACCCCGCTCCCCGCAACCTTCGCGCCAACTCCCGCCACCGGGCGCGCGCCGCTGTCGTCACAGCGTGATGGGCGGGGCGGGGCCGGGCCGGCCGCGTGGGGCGGCTCCTCGCGGTTGGTCCTGCCGCCCTGAGCGCCCGGCCCGCTGGGAGCTGCTGGCTTTGGCCGGTTGCTCGGCTGTCCGCCATCCGTCCGGGCCTCGGGGCGGATTTTCAGTTTTCTGTCGCTTGTGTCTCTGCTTGTTGAACGGTGGGGGTGAATGCACTCAGAGATACGAATTAAACGTCAGACCTCCTCTCAGTGATCGGTGTTTCAATTCGCTGGAGCCGCTCAATCCACCGCTGGCAGCGGTGGAGAAAATGGGTGGACAGGCAGGACTTCCAACATGTAGAGTGCTGCCACTGCTTTAGAAAGCCTCTCTTCTCAGCTTTGGGGACCACGGCCACCTGGAGTCTGCGTTTGATATTTTCAACATTAGCACAGTTTGCAGGAACAGATCGCTGCTTCACATGTGAAAGAGCCGAGTGCAGCCTGCGGCACAGCCTGTGCTCCTCACTACTTTCTGCTTTTACTATGGGAGCTCAGCTGTAATGGCAGTGCAAACAAAACCAGCATCTCTTCGGAAAAGCATCTCTAGCAATATGTTTGTATTTATGTATTTCTTCCTCGTTATGTCATTTTTAATGCCATGCCTGTTCCTGGTGGGAGAATTAAAGGGGAGCTGAAAAGGCTGACATTTGTAAGAGCTGCACAAACTGTTTAAATAATGCTAAAAGAATTATTGCAGGTGGTTATCTCTGTTTGTATTTGATAACGCTACCTAGAATAACATCCAGCAGAGCAGTATCTGCTTGCAGGCTTGTGACACATTCATGTTTCTTGGAAGGCAGGAGTTTATTAACCCTTCACAAAAAGAAGATTGGGGTACTTGTAAGGTACTGTTGCTCATTTCTGGTCACAGCAGGGGGACGATTCTCTCTTTCTGTACTGCTGTGATACCACTGCAAGTCCAAAAAATGTGCCCTGCTGCAAGAACAAACCTGAATGCCCTCTGATATTATTATGTGCTTTGCAACATAAAACCAAGGCAGAACCCTTACCGATCCTATAAGTGATCATGGGTTATGTTTTAAGGGCATATTATCTTACTGAAAGTACTGTGCTGGTTTTTTTTCTTTTTAAGTAACAAAAGTTCATTCAGTGTCATCACCCTCCATACAACTAAGATAAAAAATAGAAAACTTGAATTGTTTTCTACCTTTTTTGAAAGAATGTTTGACTTTTTCTACTGATATTTTCCAAAATACATGAAAAAGTGTTGAGATGTGAACTCAAGCTCTTGGCTTCTTCCCTGTGGAACAAAACCAGTCTTACTGTTGTTGCAGTGATCAGTGAAGACCTTTTCATGTTTAATGAGAGGTTGTTTATAAAGAAAATACACCTCATATTGATAAGTGAAACACAGATTTGTCCACTTTCCTTTTGTTAATATTTTCAAGTTTCTTTTAACATTTTTGTATTCTAATATGTTGGTTCATTTTGGAATTGAAATAAAATTTCATTGAAACTATCTTAATGTCTTATTTACTGCTGTACAAAATTTGTTTTAAATTTTAGGAAATAATGAAAGTACAAAGCAGATAAACTTGCACCATTGCCCTGATACACTTCTGAAGTCCATAAAACAATGTTTCTCAGCTGTTTTAGGGCCCAATACATGTCAGTCACTTAAGAAATCTTTATTATGTATCATGGAATGCAGATATTCTGAGCTTTATGTGTAACCAGAGAACCTCAGAAATTAGGAAGTGCCTTAATGAATACAAGTATCATAGTGCTGTGATTAGGAAAACGCAGCAACAAAGTTTCCTTCTTTTTTTCATAGCACTAATAAACATTAAAATATTCATTTTCTAGATGGTTGACTATATTTCATGTGAATCCTGTAGAGAACATTCTCATTATTAGAGTCCATATTAAAAACAAAACAAAACACAAATTTATCTCTTTTTCAAAACAGGAATTTGTGTTTTGTTGCAGCCCAAAAATTCCAAAAGTTCTTTGTAAATCTATGATCTAGTTTCTATTGACATTAGGCTTTCTATAGCAGCCATTGCAATTATGTGTCTTTAGAAAAGACTTTTATCCCATCTCAAACAGTTTTTGCTGTATAAGGTGAAGATAAGTACACTGTGGAAGACAGTTACATAGGTTGTGCTTTTTTGGAGCCCTCAGTAGGCCTGAGCAGCTGATGCTAATGTAAATATCACATTTTTTTCTAAGTGAACTTTCAAAGTCTTTTCTCCATCTTCATTTGAGTATCTAGGCAGAGTGTCCTCACTCACATATGCTAACACTGCATGCATTCAAATTCACATGTTCCAGATTTCTACAGATCAAGTCCCACGTTTCCAAGCTGAACCCATGAACTGAGAATATGTGATCAGTGTTCAAGTGGAAAGTTGGTTTCATAACTGGAATTGCTTAATCAAGACAGAAGCAAGAATAGAAATTTGACAGATGAGAACTGAGCTTCCCAACTAATGCAGCGTCAATGGCAGATGCCCTGGAGACCACAGCCTCTCCCAGCCTCAATTCATTCCCAAACCAAGGTTATTAAATGCACGGTTGGAGGCAGGAAACCCCACTGTGGACATCCACAACAGCATTAGGGCTGGAGCCTGCTCTGACTTTGCCACCTGAGCTGGTGCAATAATTAAATACTGCCTCTTCTCTTCCCCTCCAGCTGCACCCTCTCTTCTCAGCAGTCCCTGATCACATCTCACTTGGCTGTGCAAATTGTTTTCTGATTTAGCAGTCACAGTATTTCCTTTCCCCAACTCTTTGCTCAGCTAATCACATCTCTCTTTCAAATTCAAGTCACTATATGATTCTCCCAGTTTGCTTTCTTTTTATCAAGTAACGTTAGAGACTAACCAGTTAAAATGACAAAGCAGAAAGAAAATAAATTCAGTCATTTTCAGACCTCGATTAGGGCATGCTCCAAGTCACATAGATAATAATGAAAGAAATACAGTTAGTAAATTAATCTCAATTAAGCATCTGGGAGCACAAGCCTCTGCTGTGCCCTTTGCATCTCATGCAAATACACCGCACCATGTTTGAAATAAGGTGCAAGCAGTGCTAGCCCTGCTGTAGTTGCTGGGCAGAAGCCTGTCGTTTATACTTTGTCAATACAGTCGCCCCAGTGCTTTGAGCTTTCATGTGTGCTTTGAGCTCATGCATATGTTGGTCATGGTATCTAACTACTTTAGCGTTACAGCATTTTTAATGACTTGTATTTCAGTTTTGCTTCATAGTACAGTACACACAGTTGAAGCTTTTAAATGCTAAAACAGATGGATTCTGTTCATGCAATAACTAATCCAATTAATATTTCAAATGCTATTCCATATAGTAAAAAAGGAACGTGGCAGTGTATACTGTAGATCCACTTGGTACAGGTCCTATTCACACCTCCCTTTCTCAAACTGCCTTTGTAGGATCTTTGCTGAGAAGCAGGGAACAGGTGCTGAGGGAGTGCTGGGTCTGCTCTGTTGGACAGATTGACCTTAGGTGAGCGGCTGCCCTGCCACTGGAGATCTGCAGTGAAGATGTTAGTGGGAACTTTCTCCATCACCTAAGGTGAAACTGTCTCTTGTAAAGGCGCTGCTGAGATATGCTTACAAGGGTGCACTGAGGTAGATGTAGTTTTTTGTTGTTTATCTCATAAACAAATACATAAAATGTCTTCCATCTTCCACTGTTTTAATTAAACTGAAGGTATGTCAGAATGGCATTAGGCTATGCTAGAAAAGACACCCATGCTGCTTGCAAACATGCTCTCACAGGCAGCAGGAACAATAAAGCAGCCGTAGCCCAGCTGCCCATCTAGACTTTCATCTCCTGCATGTCAACAGGGCTAATTCATCTGAGCACAGTGCTGTACCTACGTGGTAAGTTGTTCCATGCTCAGATTTCAGCGCACAACTGTCTTGCAGGTACAGATCCATTGCTATCCAGCAACTCTGACTGCGGCGTGAATACATTTTATGTGACTGTCTCTGAAGAAATCAAGACTGGCAGGTATCAGCCTTACGGTATTTATTAAATTTACCGAATCTTCACATGCATAGTTTAGCTGTAATTTGAAATATGTTAGAAGATGAAACTATAAAATATTATCTAGCTGCTCTGCAAGACATTCCCTGTACTGATGGCCCAGCTGCAAGGTTATTAAATTAATAACAAAATAACATCTTTCAAGCCTAATTATCTTTGCTAATTATTTTTATTTAAAGAAATTAAGGGAAATTGCTTAAGGACTAGAACAAACCCATGTTAATTTTGTACTGATGCTGTATGTAGGGCTGTACATAGGACTTCTATAAGCTACAACAGCAGTTGTGTGTATTTGGAATAAATTTAGCCTCGCCTTGTGTTTCGATGTAACTACTGGGATATGCATATGTATGTTGCAGTCTCTTTGTAGGCACGATTCTGTCCTGATTCTAGAAATAAACTGTATACTAATGCTGTATGTTACATTTCTTGCAGGCAAAATTAAACTCTGGGAAAAGACCCCCCAAGCCCTTCCGGCACTCTTACAATTTAACATGTGAGTCATTAAAAATTTTAAATCACACTTTAATTGAGGACTTTGTAATTAGAATTCTGTTTCTTCCTCATTTCCTTGAAATACAGTTTCAGGAGGAACAGAGAACCGGACAGCTTCTTAGCACCCTGTCAACTGAATGTTCCCATGCGAGTGACCAAGCTTTTTGTTTCACTCGGGTAACCTATTTTCCTGCAGTAAGAACACAGCTGAGGTGTCTCAGTGACCACACAGAGGCCACCTCCCTAAAAATTACGCTGTTCTCTGACCCACCCCAGGTCTCACAGTTCAGGCTAATCATTGACAGGGCTTTTACAATCACAAGCTTTTAGTGAAGCTTTGATAAGACACTCCAGCATTTAGCGGCAAGTGAAGACAGCCTGCACAGCAGGGATTCCAGGGAATGAATGGATTTT